AGATGTCTTTGTCCTGAGGAGGAAATGAACCAGACATGTCCTTGTCCTGACCATAAACACATTCTCCTGTATTTTTCTTTTCTTTCTGCAGCGGTTGGTGTCCAACACTGACCATGTACACAGCTCTGGCCAGAGCCAGGCGCGCTTTCTGTCCTCCACTCAACGTCACACCGTTTTCTCCAACTTCCGTCTTGTCCCCATTGGGCAAAATCTGTATGGAGAATATTAGTGTCATTTACTGCAATTTACAATAAGAAACAACCTGATGTGATGATGAATGAACTTCATATTTCTTGTGATAGGACGACATGAAAGTGGTGAAGTCACAGCTTGTGTCACAGTGTAAACAGTGATGATGGTTTTAGTCCACAGTTCTCTGGACATGAACTAATGACAGGAGGGAGTCCAATAACAGAACCAGCCTGACGTCTTACGTTCAGATCCTCCTTCAGAGCGCACGCCTCGATCACTGCTTGGTAAAAGTTTGGATCGTAGTCTTTGCCAAACAAGATGTTTTCTTGCACTGATGCATGCTGGATCCACGGCTCCTGAGAAGCTAGTCCGAAGCCGGTCTCTCTGTCTGCAACATAAACCACTCCACTCAGTCTGCAGAGAGAGAGAGAGAGAGAGAGAGACATAGAGGAACAACTGACGAACCAGAGAACCAGCGATGGAACACAGAATCAGTGATTTAAATCAGGGGTTCCCAATCCCTGGTCCGGGGACCGGTGCCTAGCCGTAGGTCATTTGGTTAAGAATTACCTCCGTTTTACTAATTTACTTCAAAAACAATCCAGTCAGAATTGAGTGAAGTCTGAAAGATGTTTCATTTTGAAAATGATGGACCGGTCCGCAGTAACAGCTGATACCGGCCGACCGGTCCTTGGTACAAAAAAGGTTGGGCACCGCTGGTTTAAACATGTCTAAAAGACGGTACCTGTTGAGCTCCCCTGTGAGAGCAGCCAGTAAGGAACTCTTTCCACATCCAACTTTGCCAACCACCACTATGAGAGAACCCTGAAACAAAGAACTCATCACTTTAAAAACACAGATTTTTAAAATTCTAATCTCTAATCTGTTGTTACGAAGGTGTGTTTTTATTTTTGTTTGGGTTTAAAACATCACAGATTTATCTCTAACTCGTTTGTTTCCACATCATCAACAGTGATGTGGTGAGAGGCCCAGCACCTTGGTCACGTGCAGACTGAGGCTGTGCAGCAGCAGACTCCCTTTAGTTTCAGCTCTGCCTCCTTCCGTGGTGTCATCAGGTCTGTCAGTGCTCTGCCAGCTGAACTTCCCCTGGCTCAGCAGTATGGAAGTCTGGTCATCCTCAGGTGACACTGTGAACAAATGGATCAGCCACAGTTACACACAAACATTTAAAGAACAGTTAACACTTCCGGGCAGCGGCTGACCGAGGGCGTAGTACGCCTGCAGGTCCTGGTTGGTCAGTTTGAAGAAGCGTTGAATCCTTTCCAAAGACACTTTGGCCTCAAGGACGGAGTTGAGGACCCAGGGAAAACAGTTGAGAGGAACGATCAACATTCCCACCAGAGCCAGAGTGGTGAACACCTGCAGGAGGGAGAGAACCAGGAAGAGACTCAGAGTTCTGAAGCTGAAGAGAATCCATTTAGGAAATTATTATTTATTAAAGTTAATGATACTGTACATTTCTCTGTGTAATAATTCTTTAAATTTATTTTTATTTATTGTTCACCTCCCGAGGGCCAAACAAAATGACTTGTTGGACTGCATTTGTCCCGGGGGCCTTGACTTTGACACGTCTTAGGTGAAATTCGAACGAGAGGATTTCAAGAGAAGAATACATTTGAATTTGTACTTAATTTTAACTTATCTTTGGGGTGGAGAAATTTCTCAATGTTGACTGACATATTTTTTTTATAAAAACTGTCCCATATGATACTGTTACTGTTACTGTTACTGCATTGCTCTTGAACAATGCCTGCTGCAGATGCGTCCTTCCTACCTTGGCAGCCGTCAGCTGATGTCCCAGCAACACGTAGGTGACGAAGGTGAGGATGGAGATAACCACAGGCAGGGCGGCCCAGGTGTACACACACATGGCATCGAGGTATTTTATGGCTTTAAGGTGCGCCAGTTCTTGCTGGCGACATTCTCCCACCTTCTGTGCAAAGTACGGCTCCCAGTTGTAAAACTTGATGACACGGATACCGAAGAGAATCTCTGTCATGAGCTGAGGAAGAAGAGTCACAGCTTTACTAATTATTAGATTCCAACAAGGAAGAAAAACACGTTGCACATTTTGATTTTAAAGCTGAAGGAAAATAAATTAAGGAAATGATTAATTATAAATAATAATAATAATAATTATTATTATTATTATTTGAACTTTATTGTTTCCATATTTGGGAGATTCTTGTGTTAACAGCAGATCTAAATACAACAGGTGTCAAGTATGTGGCTTCTCTGGGAATCAAACCCAGGACTCTCCTACAACAGTATGTGGCTTCTCTGGGAATCGAACCCAGGACTCTCTGCTCTCTGCTTTTGATGTAGGCATGCTAAAAGCTACGCTATGAAATCAAGACAAAACCACATGCTGCCTCTTGGAGGCGCCAAATATGTGGTATTACTGGGGATCGAACCCAGGACATTCTGCTTGCAAGGCAGACGTGCTAACCACTATGTTACGAAACCACTCTTAACAATTCAGTTTTTTCAAGACACTGAAACAGCCTCACCTTCACACGGCTGTCTTTGTGCCGCAGCATGTGCTCGTTGTTAGTGATGATACGGGAAGCCAGGAATTTGTTAAAAGGCACCAGCAGCAGCGCCAACGCCAAACCTCCGAGGAAAGCCACGCCTACTTGCAAATACAGCAGGTAGAGGGTGATGGAGAAAGTGAATGGAAGTCTCCACAGCTCATGGAAGCTGCCGAAGAAGTTCACGATGCGGTCGGTGTCTGTGCTCATCAGGTTGACCACTTCCCCCAGAGTGAACGTGGCCAGACTGCTGCCGCTGATCCGCAGGGCTTTGTCATAGATGGTGGAAATGAGTGCGGATCTCGCCGACAGTGACACTTTGGACACTTCGAAGACAAAGACGTTCTGTAGAATAGAAGAAAGCAACGTACTGGCAAAAAGCCCCAGTGCACACCAGAGTCCTGTGCTAACTGGGGCTTCTTCATCCTCCATAAAATTCACCAGACTACTCAGCAGCAGAGGTCCTCCGAAGGTCAGCAGGTTGACCAACACCTTCAGAACACCAAGCACGTAATACCTCAGACCGAACGCTTTGTGCAGAACCTTCAAAAGTCCCACATCACCTTCCAGCGCCAGTGATTCCTCCAAGAGGTGTGAAGTCCTGGTGTCGTTCTGAAGGTTCCCGCCGACCGGCCTGGGCCACTCTTCCCCCCTGACGGCCGTACCACGTCTGCAGGTTTCCCAGCACTGATGAAAGCGTCTTAAAATCACAGTTGTCCGTAGTTTCCGCGGCAGATGATAAACATCTTCTGGTTTGTCCAGCTGCCCCTGCTGCCCTCGTCTGAGCAGAGGCGATAACCACAGGTAAAAGAGTCGAGACGTCCAGCCACTGCCATCTTCTGCAACCATGTCACCAGTGTCCGGCTGATTGTCAATTGGAATGAGTGGCGATCCATCTGATGCATTAACATATAAAGTGTAGCTGGGGTCACTGACGCAGGGGAACGCAAAGGCAAACACGTAAAGAAGAAGAGGGAGTGTCCGTGCGGAGGCAAGGACAAATCTTGAGAGTTTCAGGGGTTCTGTGAGGTTAAAAACTCCACCGGTCTCAGAGTAAACCACTAATGTGATGACAAGATTAGGAACCAACAGGAGGACTAGCAGAAGCAGCAGAGCCGGTCCACGGGTTCTCCTCAAAACACTTTTCTGCAGCACTGCTATGGCAGTCAGGTGGACCAGCCATCCCAGAATGGCACAACTGTCAGTGAAAAGGTCCAGGTACATGTCGTCCTGCTGGAGGACGGCCACAAGAACCACGTCTGCAGTGAAGAGCAGCACAGTCAGCAGGGCGGACACCAGCCTGAGGGTCCAACCACAGGGAGCAGACGTTTGGAGGAGGTTGCATCTGATAAACAAATCAACAAATCAAACAAATGTGGCATTAGATTATTTACACTGTACTTACGAAAGGATCTCATATAAATATATGACTTGTTATTCTTGACATGACGTCCGGAGCGCTGTACCTTGTCATACTGAGATAGCAGGCACAGAAAACGGCCATCCCTGCATGAGGCAGGGCTCCGAGCACCAGCTGGTTGAAGCAGGCGCTGATGTGTCCATCCTGCCAGAGAGGGATGGGGTTCTCTGTGTCTGTATGACAGAAGTCTGCAAAGAACTCCGCTGGTCCAAAGTCTGCCATAACTCTTCTCTTTTCGCCAGTGTTATTGAAGAAAACATCTATAAAGAGAACAAGCAACAGGAATTAGGAATAGACACTGGCCAATAATTTAGGTTTGTACTAATTCAAACTAAGACTAGACACCGGTCTATTAATTTAGGTTTGTACTAATTCAAACTAACCAAAATGACTTGCCTGCTTGGATGATTCATACAACAGAGCACGGATCCCAGAATGTGACTTGAAAATACAACAAACCGCTAATAAACTACTCACATTATGTGGACTTTTTGTCAGAACAGAATCGTGCGCGAACCTCCAAGAACATTTTGACAAACATTGGGGTTCTTGTGGGTATTGTTTTGTAGCTCGCTGTTGCAACTAAAGAAAACAAACGAGAGTTGGTCACTGGTTTAGCCGTTAAAAAGCTCCATACTCGAAGGTCGTTTTTATCGGAACCATGTGTCCGAATTTAATTTTGTTAACGTCACTAAATATGTAAAATGTTAAACGTGCCAAAAACAATACAAAAAAATAAATAAAGAGATAATAAACTACTACTTTAAATCCCGGCGGATATACTGATTCACCGAAACACTTCCGTCCATCCCTGATGACGCAAGCCTTTAGCTTAGTCTATTTTATATTTTGTTGTTGTTGTTGTACCCCAGGAACAATAATAATAATATTAATAATAAAATAAATACATTATAATTTATTACGAAATCCTCCAACTTCCAACCATAGTATATACAATTTTTAAAATAATTTGGAATAATTAAATAAATAGCTTAATTATTAATTATTTACATTATATTATATATATTATATTTATATTAATTATCCTGAAAAAAAGGACAAAGCTGAAAGAAAAAGTATGTAATATGTGATGGTGACGTCTGACACAGAGAACAGAAAACAATGTCAATGTGAGAATGACAGGTGTGTTTAACGCAGCGTTTACATAGCAGAGTGGCGCAGCGGAAGCGTGCTGGGCCCATAACCCAGAGGTCGATGGATCGAAACCATCCTCTGCTAGGGAGGCTGAGTTGTTTTTTTTTTGTTTGTTTTGTTTTTTGTGGGGCAGTGGTGGTTTAGTGGTTTAGGATCGGACTTGGGTCTGGAAGGTTTCACTTTTTCACCTTTTTTGGAGAACAATGTTTTTTTTAACTTTTAAACTAAAAAAAAACAATGTAAAAACAAACAGAATTAGTAATAAAAGTCCTTTAATGAAGGATGACCATGGAGAAGGAGATTAGGTTTTAGCACCTTTATTCAGGTCAGAAAATGAAAAAGCTGGCGTCTGGTTCTCCTGATGAAACACCGGACACTGTCTGCATAAGAAAAGAAGACATTTGATGCTGAGGAGAAAACGTTCTTTCACAGAAACCATTTTTTTAAAAAATGCCTTGATTTAAAATAGGATGTTACATAATAACTACAATCAAAGTTAAATGTACACATTTTGGAACCTGGGATTTTATCTAGTGAACAGAACAGGAACATGTAAGTTAAGTTATAAAAACAAAAGGAATTTTACAAATTTTTTAACACAGAAATTAAAAAAAAAGAGCCTGTATTAAATACTGTTTTTTTTCGGAAATTAAAAAAAAAGCCTGTATTAAATACTGTTTTTTTTTCTTTCTAATGCATGTTCATTAAAAACAAAAATCTAAAAGTCATATACAAAGCAGGAGTGCAGCTATACAATATCACATAATATTTTTATTTCACAAACACTGTACAAAGGTCATTTTCTTTAACACTAGGCAGTTTAACTTTTTCTTTCATATCCTACATTTACCGTGTCAAAAAGACGCACACTGTATTTACACATATAGACATGAAATACAAACATAAATATGAGCAGTATCTGTGGGATCCACACTATCTGTTGCCCCTCTGCTGCCTCCACAGGATAGCGCGAACACACGCAGTCACGTTGATCTTTTATAGAATGGTCTGTTGATGTTCATCGTATCAAAAAGTAAGGAGCAACACTTAGGAGTTTGCTGCAAAGCAGATGATATTAAATTAATCTGCATCAGTTTTATACAGAAGGCTTTTATTCTGTTTGTTAATATATCAATAAAAAAATAAAATCAAAGCAGAATTAAAGCTGAAAGTACCCATGTGTGTTAAAACTGGTCTGTTATTGTATCTGTCTGGTGACATGATTGTCAGGTTAGGCTCACACAGGTGTAGAATCTGATCATATATATACACACAGTTACTAGGGATGTCCGATGTTCGACTTTTTGCCGATATCCGATATTTTCCAAACACTTATGTTCCGATTCAACCAATACCGAAATCGGGCCTGGTAATATTTATTTATTTATCTGCATACAATCCCCTTGATTATTAAAATAGATCAATTAAATGAGCTGCAATGCTGCCATTTAGTGACTTTTTGGCTAAACCCAGGTATTGCATTATCGGGTTTCAAAGGAAAAACCAATAACGATTCTGACAGATATTACATCATTATGCTGATATCGGGCCGATAAATTGATCAGCCGATATTATCGGACATCCCTAATGGTTACCTATATTGATAACCATGAAATGAAAAACAATTAAGTCTTTGAGTAGATTATGAGCATCACCCTGGACCTTTGTTTGTGATGACTGTAAGGAGTGAGTAGAGCCGGCCATCATTTGGTGTTAGTACCAAAAGTATCACAACTTTTTACAGTCTTTCAACATATGTACATACCACAACGAAAACTTCGTTAACAATGAAGTAGAGTTTACTTTAAGGATAAAACAAATGTGGTCCGACACAAGCAGACCAATAGAAAACTGACACTGGAGAGGTGTGGGCTTAAACCATAACATGAAGGTGACTAATTTATCTGAACAGAAATATCAAAAACTTTTAATCGAAGTAAACATCCAAGAACCAGTTGTTGCTACAAGATGAAAGACGAATGACTTTTCTCATCAGTGTCATTTCCACTATTTTGATCTACGGCCTTGAAAAACATCTTGGACCCCATTTGTCAAAACTCTCGGTTTTCCATCGGAGATTAAACTCTGTTCTGCTCCCATTTCACACAGGAAACAGGTTTTTCTGCAGCATTTTTCAACAGAGAGAGAATATTGTGTTGTAAAACTCAAACTGTGACATCGTTGTCATTTTAAACATGAATTTTCATATAATCTGTAGTTATCTCACTCAATTAGGAAATATATAATGCAAACTATAATATAAATATTATATATATAATAGGGAATAGAAGTTTCTGTCTTAGCATTTAACATGTGTGGACTTGAACTTTAATTCAGGTTAAATCAGTCATAATAAATCAAATGAAACTCTCTATAAAGTTTTAATAATTTAGTGACTAAAACACCAATAAAAATGTGCCCATTATAAAATATTAATAATTGGTATATAGTTGGGAGATTCTCATGTTTTACCAACAAATTCAAGGAGACCAAGGACTTGGGAAAATAAGTAAATTTGGTCAATCTGTGGGTGGGTTCTATGGTCTATGGTTATTTTTGGTTAAAACGAGAAATCTTTAAATAAACCTTGTCATGTGACGGCGAAGAGGGTTCAGTCCAAGCTGGTTGTGGCATCTAATTTTATGTGATGGAATAACAGGCAAAAAAACAAAAATATTAATAAATTCCCAGGATGAACTGGAGTTCACCAGGAGGGATTTTTCTCTGTCCTGTACATCACCACACTGTCCTGGAAGAGCGAGTGTAAGAAGGAACACGGGCCTTTTCATGGAGTACTTCCCATTATGGGATAAGACACAGACACTCCTTCTGCTCAGACTCCTTCAGCCAACACCGTCCTCAGTCCGAGACCCACCGTTTGGTTCTCTTACAGGTTCTTGGTGTTGATGTGAGTCTTATAATGCTTCGTCAGGTGATCGCTCCTCATGAAGCGTTTCTGACACTGGCTGCACTCGAAGCGTTTGTCACCTGTAACGTGAGAAGAAACAAACGTGAGTGTACTGTGGTTTCTTAAAAGCCAAGTTCACACGAACGTTCGCGGTCACCTGTGTGCGTCCGAGCGTGCCGCTGCAACTCGTCGCTGCGCGTGAAACGCTTCCCGCAGAAAACCCAGTTGCAGACAAACGGCCGCTCGCCGGTGTGCAATCGGACGTGAGCCCGGAGCAGAGATGTTTTCCTGAATGTCTTTTCGCAGCCGGGAACATGGCAGATGTGTTTCCTCTTCCCCACCTCCCCAGGTCTGCAGGGGAAACACAGATATCTACTGTAAAATGTGAACTAACCTTCATCACATTTGAGGAAAGGAAACTTGATTTGTCTTTTGTTTGTTGATTTTTCATAAACTTGAACCAAACTCAACTGAATAATTTTGTGAAAGAGAAAAATAATTATAGTAAATGTAGGTGAGTTGAAATGACCTACTAAAAGCAATCTCACTAAAACATCTGTGGCTTTAAAAAATGTTCATCCTCTCATTAGTTTCAATCAAACGTCCAGTGTTTTGATTTGTGTTTCAATCAACATCGCAGCTCTGAATACATGAAGAAAAATCTCTACTGAGACATGAGAGATACGAACCTCTTGTCTGCGTCTTTACAGTTGGGGCAGGTGCAGGCCATGCGTCTCTTCTTCTCTCCAGGCTGACTTGGCAGCTCCAGAGTCAGGGCCTGGTCCACCTGAATGGCGGGCTGGCCCTGTGCTGCAGCGAGCTGTAGCCCGCCGCCGTGCATGGTCTGTACTGTCAGGTGCTGCTGGCCTAAGAAATAACAACTCATTTAAATATTATTTATTTTTCAGGCTGACACTGTATGAGAATCCTGAAGCAATAAATAGGTCAAAAAGGAAGGGTGAAAAACATGCTCACTCATGGACTTACCCCCTGCATTTGTGATGGTTACAGGTACTCCCTGAACTTGGACACCATTGATGCTGATGGTCTGCACTCCCTGGGCTGGGGTCGGCAGCTGCGACGTGTTCAGAGTTATCATCCCGCCTGCAGGAGCAATTTTTGCCAGAGTCCTTTCTTTTTTTCCTCCCGTGGGTGTCTTTTTGGTAACAGTCGGAGGAGAAGTTGTGATGCTGGCACTCGTCGTGGTTGCAGTCGTGGTCGAGGAGACCGAGTCCTGAAGCAGAACTGCCGACCACTCACCCAGTCCCGATTTGAAGAAAAGCTAATGAAAGAAAACATTTTTTTTAATACGACGTCAGTTTTATTTATTTTTTCACAAGGATGTCCGACTTCACTGATACCTGCGTCGGTGACTGCTCTGATGTGGTGACCTGCAGATTTGAAGGAGCCGACTGTCTCTGCGGGACAGGAGGCAGCGTGGCGGAAGCGGCCTGCACCACCTTGAGCGCTTGTTGTGGGATCTGAACCACCTGGGAGTCCTGTTTGGGTGGCATCAACTGGACCTGTTGCACCACTGCTGGCTGACCAGGACTTTGTACGATCAGGAGGTTGTTGCCAGCCTGGGGAAAAAAGAAAAAAGAAAATATCGGTCAGCCGATATCATCGGACATCCCTGTTTAATTTTTTTTGTGTTGGTTCTGGCGGGCAGACCAACCTGTATGATGTTGTCTCCCGTGTCTATCAGGTAGGTTTCCATCTGTTCTGGCGGCGGCGAAGCGGCCTGTGCGGGAGGCGGGAGTTGAGGCAGTGTACTCAGAACGACTTTCTTCTTCCTTCCACGTTTACCTTTCCCAGAGTTGGAGGATGTGGCGGCAGCCGTCTCTGTGATGATCTGAGTCCCGCCCACTTCTCCAGTCGCTACATTCAGCGGGAGTGTGAGGCAGCCACTGGGCAGCTGCACAATGTTTGCGGTGGAATTGTTTGGTTTGCGAGACTTGGGGGAGGGCTTGATGGTCACAGTCTTGGGGGGAGTGATGGGAGCTGTGGCAGCAGCAGGAACAGGAACGGTCATTGGCGTGGTGATGATGGCTTGGTTGGTGCCCGGTATGAGCTGGATCTGACCGCCCTGTGGCATTACCTGGATTGTTTGAGTACCTTGGATCTGCGGCACCATCTGGTACTGGATGTTTGCCGGAGCTGCGGTGTTGGTGCGAGCCGGGCTGGCCTGGATGGTGAGGACAATGGGGTTGCCGTGGGGCGCAGGGCCCAGGATGACATTGCCCTTTGGTGACAAAAACCCCAGGTTTTTTGGAGGAGCTGGGGCAATGGGAGCTGGCTTTATGGGAAGGAGTCTGCGAGGCTGGGGTGGCACAGGGGTACTAACAGGTGCCTGAGCAGCAGGGGGGCCGATTTTACTACAGGTGGCAGCCAGGAGAGCCAAAGGGGAGGGCTGAGGGTCCTACAGGGGGGTACATAATCAGAAAAAAAAAAGATAAAACGTAGCATAAAAAACAACAACAATCTGAGGACAAATAAATTGGTGAGACAAGACGATAAACTAATCGTAAATGATTTCTCTTTTTTTAGTGTTTGAGGTTCTGATAGATGTGCAGCAGTGACTGAGCAGTGTGTGTTTTTCTTTTAAATGCTGCAAAAAACAGGCCTGATTATATTAATTTTGGGAGCCCGAGCTCAAATTACTAGGGGAACAATAAGGATTATGGATAGCATTAAAAAAAAGTAATTTTTGCTCTGATGCCAAACAAACTGACAGTGTTATTTCTCTCTGTTATTAGAGCAGCCACATTTCAAACTGATGAAATTAAAATATATTTCTCTCTATATTTCTCTCCAGATTCTCATTAAACCTGGTGTGAGTGCTTGCAAAATTAAAAAGAGACTTGGTGAAACCTGAGCTTCTGCATGTAAAATAAAAGTTAACTGACATATCGGGGGCTGTGGTGCAGCTGGGCTCGCAGCATTGTGTCAGTTAACTTTTACTTTGCATGCAAAATCATAAATAATGTTAAAAAACAGTCTTCACCTGTGAAGCTTTTGTAGCTGTTTGTGGTCCGTGTGTTTCATCTTCAAGCTGCAAAAGAGGATTTAAGCTCTGTAAATTCATCAACTTGAAGGTAATTAAACAAAATCAAAGAAAATATTATATAAAAAGATTGTTTTTTTTTAATTTTGGGAAGCAATCTTTAAGACACAAAACCAACAAATGTTGTCATTATAGGTATATTTATATGTATATATTATATGTATATAAATAATTGTACGTCCTGGTTTTAGTTTAGTATTTAGTACAAAAAACCTGTCCAGAAATGCATCACGTTGCATGTGATTACCAGATAACGGTACAACTAAGACAAATTATGCCACCTCGTGGAAACTTACTTGTGTAGGACTTGTGGAAGGTTGTAGGTATTCACTTGGACTGACAGCAACGGTGGTGGCCATACTGTCCTGTTGTTCTGTAAAACACGGGGAGAGTGACACAATTAGGGGTGTGGCGATACAATACGCATCACGATACAGGGGCAACGATACGATATACTACAATATAGGGCTGTACAAATATGGACAAAGAAATTATTCTTTTATATTATATTTTATCAGAATATTGAAATCCAATTATTCAGAATGTTAGGTAAAACGTACTTTTATTACATTTTCTATTTTCAAACAAACAGTATGCACTAACCTTCATCACATTTGAGGAAAGGAAACTTGATTTGTCTTTTGTTTGTTGATTTTTCATAAACTTGAACCAAACTCAACTGAATAATTTTGTAAAAGAGAAAAATAATTATAGTAAATGTAGGTGAGTTGAAATGACCTAAAAGCAATCTCACTAAAACATCTGTGGCTTTAAAAAATGTTCATCCTCTCATTAGTTTCAATCAAACGTCCAGTGTTTTGATTTGTGTTTCAATCAACATCGCAGCTCTGAATACATGAAGAAAAATCTCTACTGAGACACCGAGATACGAACCTCTTGTCTGCGTCTTTACAGTTGGGGCAGGTGCAGGCCATGCGTCTCTTCTTCTCTCCAGGCTGACTTGGCAGCTCCAGAGTCAGGGCCTGGTCCACCTGAATGGCGGGCTGGCCCTGTGCTGCAGCGAGCTGTAGCCCGCCGCCGTGCATGGTCTGTACTGTCAGGTGCTGCTGGCCTAAGAAATAACAACTCATTTAAATATTATTTATTTTTCAGGCTGACACTGTATGAGAATCCTGAAGCAATAAATAGGTCAAAAAGGAAGGGTGAAAAACATGCTCGCTCATGGACTTACCCCCTGCATTTGTGATGGTTACAGGTACTCCCTGAACTTGGACACCATTGATGCTGATGGTCTGCACTCCCTGGGCTGGGGTCGGCAGCTGCGACGTGTTCAGAGTTATCATCCCGCCTGCAGGAGCAATTTTTGCCAGAGTCCTTTCTTTTTTTCCTCCCGTGGGTGTCTTTTTGGTAACAGTCGGAGGAGAAGTTGTGATGCTGGCACTCGTCGTGGTTGCAGTCGTGGTCGAGGAGACCGAGTCCTGAAGCAGAACTGACGACCACTCACCCAGTCCCGATTTGAAGAAAAGCTAATGAAAGAAAACATTTTTTTTAATACGACGTCAGTTTTATTTATTTTTTCACAAGGATGTCCGACTTCACTGATACCTGCGTCGGTGACTGCTCTGATGTGGTGACCTGCAGATTTGAAGGAGCCGACTGTCTCTGCGGGACAGGTGGCAGCGTGGCGGAAGCGGCCTGCACCACCTTGAGCGCTTGTTGTGGGATCTGAACCACCTGGGAGTCCTGTTTGGGTGGCATCAACTGGACCTGTTGCACCACGGCTGGCTGACCAGGACTTTGTACGATCAGGAGGTTGTTGCCAGCCTGGGGGAAAAAGAAAAAAGAAAATATCGGTCAGCCGATATCATCGGACATCCCTGTTTAATTTTTTTTGTGTTGGTTCTGGCGGGCAGACCAACCTGTATGATGTTGTCTCCCGTGTCTATCAGGTAGGTTTCCATCTGTTCTGGCGGCGGCGAAGCGGCCTGTGCGGGAGGCGGGAGTTGAGGCAGTGTACTCAGAACGACTTTCTTCTTCCTTCCACGTTTACCTTTCCCAGAGTTGGAGGATGTGGCGGCAGCCGTCTCTGTGATGATCTGAGTCCCGCCCACTTCTCCAGTCGCTACATTCAGCGGGAGTGTGAGGCAGCCACTGGGCAGCTGCACAATGTTTGCGGTGGAATTGTTTGGTTTGCGAGACTTGGGGGAGGGCTTGATGGTCACAGTCTTGGGGGGAGTGATGGGAGCTGTGGCAGCAGCAGGAACAGGAACGGTCATTGGCGTGGTGATGATGGCTTGGTTGGTGCCCGGTATGAGCTGGATCTGACCGCCCTGTGGCATTACCTGGATTGTTTGAGTACCTTGGATCTGCGGCACCATCTGGTACTGGATGTTTGCCGGAGCTGCGGTGTTGGTGCGAGCCGGGCTGGCCTGGATGGTGAGGACAATGGGGTTGCCGTGGGGCGCAGGGCCCAGGATGACATTGCCCTTTGGTGACAAAAACCCCAGGTTTTTTGGAGGAGCTGGGGCAATGGGAGCTGGCTTTATGGGAAGGAGTCTGCGAGGCTGGGGTGGCACAGGGGTACTAACAGGTGCCTGAGCAGCAGGGGGGCCGATTTTACTACAGGTGGCAGCCAGGAGAGCCAAAGGGGAGGGCTGAGGGTCCTACAGGGGGGTACATAATCAGAAAAAAAAAAAGATAAAACGTAGCATAAAAAAAAACAACAATCTGAGGACAAATAAATTGGTGAGACCTGACGATAAACTAATCGTATTTTAAAAGATTTCTCTTTTTTTTAGTGTTTGAGGTTCTGATAGATGCATAAAGATTTCTCTTTTAGTGTTTGAGGTTCTGATAGATGTGCAGCAGTGACTGAGCAGTGTGTGTTTTTCTTTTAAATGCTGCAAAAAACAGGCCTGATTATATTAATTTTGGGAGCCCGAGCTCAAATTACTAGGGGAACAATAAGGATTATGGATAGCATTAAAAAAAAGTAATTTTTGCTCTGATGCCAAACAAACTGACAGTGTTATTTCTCTCTGTTATTAGAGCAGCCACATTTCAAACTGATGAAATTAAAATATATTTCTCTCTATATTTCTCTCCAGATTCTCATTAAACCTGGTGTGAGTGCTTGCAAAATTAAAAAGAGACTTGGTGAAACCTGAGCTTCTGCATGTAAAATAAAAGTTAACTGACATATCGGGGGCTGTGGTGCAGCTGGGCTCGCAGCATTGTGTCAGTTAACTTTTACTTTGCATGCAAAATCATAAATAATGTTAAAAAACAGTCTTCACCTGTGAAGCTTTTGTAGCTGTTTGTGGTCCGTGTGTTTCATCTTCAAGCTGCAAAAGAGGATTTAAGCTCTGTAAATTCATCAACTTGAAGGTAATTAAACAAAATCAAAGAAAATATTATATAAAAAGATTGTTTTTTTTTAATTTTGGGAAGCAATCTTTAAGACACAAAACCAACAAATGTTGTCATTATAGGTATATTTATATGTATATATTATATGTATATAAATAATTGTACGTCCTGGTTTTAGTTTAGTATTTAGTACAAAAAACCTGTCCAGAAATGCATCACGTTGCATGTGATTACCAGATAACGGTACAACTAAGACAAATTATGCCACCTCGTGGACACTTACTTGTGTAGGACTTGTGGAAGGTTGTAGGTATTCACTTGGACTGACAGCAACGGTGGTGGCCATACTGTCCTGTTGTTCTGTAAAACACGGGGAGAGTGACACAATTAGGGGTGTGGCGATACAATACGCATCACGATACAGGGGCAACGATACGATATACTACAATATAGGGCTGTACAAATATGGACAAAGAAATTATTCTGATTATGTTTTTTCAGAATATTGAAATCCAATTATTCAGAGAAATTATTCTTTTATATTATATTTTATCAGAATATTGAAATCCAATTATTCAGAATGTTGGGTAAAACGTACTTTTATTGAATTTTCTATTTTCAAACAAACAGTATGCAAACAATCCTTTAAGTTCAAAATGAAAATCATAAATGATGAATTAAAATTTACCCAGGACATTTCATGCAGTCATCTTATTTGATTTCAGGTGGTTGAATAAATTAGTTTTGTTGCCCCTAGTTACAATATGGCTTTACTTTTTATTCCATAAAACTCAACAACTAAGGATGACACGACCCAAACAGACACTGACAACCATGGATTCATTTCAACGTTTTAGCTAATGTAAGTAGTAAAAAACTTTGCTTTTTTCAACACACATATGAATGGATTGTGACAAAGAGCAAAGTTGCAAAGACCTATTAGGTGATGTCGAAGCATTCAGATGCTATCCAAATAGAGAAATGCACAAACTGGACAGCAGTCAAAGCATCCTGACGGCAGAAGGCTCCTAATTTATCGTGCATACTACAATCCCGCTGAGAGAGACAGCATAAGTACATCAAGGGCAGTGTGCCCAGTGGTTTTAAGAGCTGGATAAATCTTGAGTAAACATTGTCTAATGGCCCAAACAGGCTGACACTGTAAATGTCAGAGAGAATAAGTCCAGAAAAGTGCTTCATTCATGGAGTGTTAGACACTGAGTGACCTGTTCCAGCCACAGCACAGTCCCTAAATATAGACTGTCAAAACAAAACCCAAATCTAATAATACATATTTGGATGAATTATATACTAAGATAGGAATAGATGTTAAAACTCCATTACAAATCATGATTTCTCAACACGTAGTTAAAGTGGACAGGTCAGCTTAAGCCTTGAGGAGGGTGTCAAATACGTGGATCAGGATCTCCCAGTAGATCGCAAAGGACGTAGCAATACAAATTTCAAATATAGATATAATTCTACAGTGTGTAGCAATGGCCATATATTGTAAGAATTTAATCATATTGTGAGAGTTTATATGATTGAATATATATTTAACATTTTGTTGTCGCTCACTTGAGCTTGGTCATTTCAACTGGTCTCATCCCCCCCCCAAAAAAGTGTGAACCACTGGCTTACGGTAACCAAACAGACAAAAGCTTGCGGTCAAACATAAGGATTCATGATGCTGCATGACTAACACTGAGCACTGTTTTGAATGGCAACACTGCACAGAAGTGCATGGTTTGCTGAAAACTGAAGCCATTAATCACGCATCCACCTGAGATGCTAAATCTGCAGATTCCTGCACAAACGAGCCTTAAAGTAGGACAGCATGTGTCTCAAAAGTCCACTTTAACAACTGTGTTTGAATCAAAGAGCTGTGCATGCATGCCTTTGATAAGATTAATGCCCTAAACTTGTGTTTGCCCCGTTATCTTTAAAGTTTGAGGCAAAAGAGTCTTCAGAAAAATATACGATTTTACAGGACCGTACAAAGCAGCCCAATTAAGTTCATAGTGTTTTCTTTGAATCCCTGTCCAATGCAATCTTTGAAATTATTTTTTTTAATGTCAATGATAAAACCAAGTCCAAAAATGTTGTGTAAAGGATCTGCTAAAAGTCCAAATCATCTGAAACCAATTGTTTCTTTTTCCCCATGTTCATACGAATTGAAGCAGAATCCGTCTGCTCTTCACGTTTCACATAGCTTTTACCATTAATTGACATTTTATTATCAAAGCTACTTCAATAAAAAAAATAAAATTTAAAATAATAAATCCTGATCAACAACTGTATGGAGAGGATGTATTTGTTTTTAAGTGCTTTATTCACTGCATTTATGAATATACCAGTATGCTTTTATTCTTATTTAGTTTAATTAGAAGTGGGATTTGTTCAGACACATTCTTCATGAAAAATATTTAGTTCATTATGCGTGAGGGCATTTGTGACGCATCATTAAAGTATAAAGTGAAAGAACTTGAGTTGAGATGTGAGATAGTAAGAGACAGATAAAGTTGGGCTAATGTTTGCTGAAAGATGATTGGCCAGTACAGTAAATCAGGAATTTTAAAAGATCCATGTGATTAAGAACTGAACTGGCAGAGATTTGAAAAGGACTTTGAAACTTTGAAATACTGGGGGAAAAAAGGTTAAGCCAAACAAGCCAAAAACCTAACCAAGCCCTGATGAACTATATAAAAATCTTAGCCCAGACTAAAAAGGTTAATGTTGCTGACATGCGTGTACAAGACAAAAACACATCTCAGAAGATTGGCTGAAACTAAAGGAAAAATACCACACAACTGCAGTAGAATATTTAAGGACGAAAGACAGAAAAAATACAAAACAAATCAACCTCAGCTGTAGCAGAGCAAATACTCCAAAAGTACAGAACAAGCTTTAACACACTATTCTTTTAGGAATATAACAATGATAATTTATCAAATTAAATAAAAAAACTTTAAGTAATACTATATTCAAATTCTTTTAGGAATATAACTATGATAATTGATCAAATTAAATAAAATAAAAAACTTTAAGTAATACTATATTCAAATAACTGAATACATGAAGTCATCAATAACACTACTGACCTAGCTCTATTTCAACGTTATAGTAATCAAAAACACTACAAGACAAATCAGTGGAAACACAAGCATGAGCACAATTACACGAACCCAATTTCCCACAAAACAAACTACTATTTTGCTCCATTTTCAACCATCATCGGTGACTTTTGTCCAGCCAACAAGTAAACAGAGTGTGTGATTGTTGTTCGCTTCATTAAATAATAATGATAAGTCCACCGTCAACTCAACCCACTTCAGCGTTGGTGTATTTTTAGGATGTACGAGCGCTGCTGTACTGGTTGCTGATGGTTAAAGAGCAGCTGCAGAAACTCAACACAGTCAATCACACTTTTCTTTTATTTCACAATCAGTGCAGGGTATGCAAGTATTTATTTATAAAAGCAACATCAAGACTCAAATATGAGGAAACGCGGCCTTAAATTAGCGCCATCAAATATGCGCTGAGTGCTTCGTTTTGCTGTAGCTGAGTAGGAAAGGCTAGCTTAGCAAGTGGAAACACTGAACTAAAACAGTGGACATGCTAAAGTGGCTAGCAAAGCCCAACTTATTCCGTGAGCCGCTGATTTAAACAGAATAAGAAAAAATGTATTTTTTGTGTGAAGGTGACGTTTGATGCCTGTGCACAAAATCGTATGTGTAAAAACAAGTAAGGTACCAGTTATTTGACTGCTATTAGCCACAGCTGGTTGAGCTAACTGCAAACTCTTTGAAAACGTTACAGAAAGAGGCAGCCCCTTTCCGGAAGTGCGCTGCTTATTTTGACTGACGCAGCTGCCTGTGTCCACACTCAAACACACTTAAACGTAGCATAAAACACACGATGTTTTTCCATCCAGTGCAAATAAAACGTTTTAGCAAAGTACAATGTAATAGAAACACCAATGTTTTAATTCCTACCCACCGCTCATGACGACATTCGCTGTCCGCGAGCCTCGAAGACCGAGCCCGGGGAGGAGCCCGCCCGCGCGGCTGCACCAATCCGCGGGTAGACTAAGACTGAGTGACGTTTATTTTAGCCAATCAGCATGAGGTGTTTCTGTGATTGAAATTGAATCAAGCCAACTGTGACGTGGCGTTTATGTACGTCATTTAAAGGCTGACGGTTTGGCTAATAGGATGTCGACTTTCTGCTCATCTGGGGCGGGTCCTTAAAGTAAAAACTAGAACAGACGAGTGTCCTATTAAATCCACGGCTCCCTTTCACTGACGTCCACGACGACCAATGTGATGTGTGCGGACCTGCACGACCGCAAACGGAGTGACAGTGAGTCTGACCAATGAGCTTTAATCGCTCTTATCCGCGCCGCTCTAACGGCACCACCGGGGTTTATTATGACAAGGCGCCCGTTATGTAGGTTAAAAGCCGAGCCATACCAAGCAACCGACAGGTCGTAGGTTAATCCAAAGACTATGTTTATTACGTATATGAACCTGTTATCTTACAGTTTAACAGCAATCAATCTTCAATTAAATAGAATATTGTACTATAAAATATTGTAAACTTAGGTAAAGACAAAATTAAAACTTAAGTTTGCAAGAGCGAAAAAAGATTGATTAAGGCGAGTATGTGGTTATAAAACTTGTACATTTGCAAGGTATACATCAAAATTAGGTATAAAAAGTTTGTTACTTTGTTGGAGGCGAAAAGCTCCACAAAAACAGTAGGTACTCAGCTCGTTATCGCCTCCCTATTTGTAGGTACTGGAAAGCAAATACTACACACATAAACACACACATACAATACTGCCACCAACACCTGACTCTGACATGCGTGGCATGCAAGCGGTTGTCACTGGTGTTAAATGAATCCCATTATGCTCTCTACGACCTGCACAATGGGCTGTGTGACCCACAGAAATCTCCATTATTTGGTTCACTGACAATGTAGGAAAGACACAGCAGCCAGATCACTGTCCTGCAACCAGGAGAAAAACGTTTGATGACACTGTTAGTTAATAAAAAAATAAAAAAAACAACTTCTGCATAGACATTAATGTACACCAGTACAGTCAGAATTTTAGGAAGAAAGAATTGATTTATAGGAACGCAGTTTTATTTAATTTGAATTTAAAATGTGCCTATTTCAACTTCATTTCATTGTGTTGTCTTGCTCTTGGTTGTACCTGAGAAGACAGGAGAGACAGTCACGATGGCAGCACTGCTGCTGCTGCTGCTGCTGCTGCAGAGAAAATGTGCCAGTCGTGGCTGTCAGTCCCATCTGTCGTCAACATCCACTGACATGGCCTGCAGCACTTTCAGCAGCGAGAGCTGTCCTTTTCCTCACTGGATCACTCCTCATGATTCTATTCACTCCCTCAATGCATACAGCGTTCAGTGCAGGCTTTCCTCCATAGAGTGCACTTGACCTTATTCACATACGGCTGCCCTGCCTTCTCCCTAGTGTTTTCACATGGTGCTGAAAACACTTGGAAATGTGTGTGTTTCTCTAAGTAGTGGTGGCATTTAGCCTCTCCTCCCCTCGTCTCCCCTCGTCTCCTGTGGCGTGGTGGTAAAAGAGGCAGGTCCTGTCTGTCTCTTCCTGGGCAGCGCTGTGGAAAGCCTCTGTGGAGAGAGACAAGCTGCATTATTTAAGTGGAGCTTCTCAGTGTTTTTTGTTTTTTTAAATGCAACCGGTTAATTGAATAAATCAGAGAATCAGTTGTAAAAATTCTCTGTGCCAAAAAGCAAGAAATCACGAATGATTCATTTACCTTTTGACATACTCACAAACCCACACACACACTCAACACACACTCTACAGTAAAATTCACTGATGTCATTTTAAGGAACAGATACATGTAATAATTATGAATACTGTCTAATTTTTTAGGAACACACATGTAATAATTATGAATACTGTCTAAACCAAGGATGGCAAATAATTTGAACCCTTAGCAGACATGATGCTAAACATTCTAGGACAGATTAAATCAAATAAGAAGTGAGAGGAATTACAGTAATCAATAATCTATAATTTAAATGATGGAAAAACACCTTCAAACACAAACAGTAAAGTACTCGTATACTCAGGCCGTGTTGGTCTAGACTTCTCTACCAGACTTTGTTCCGCAGGTGTTGCACCGGTGCAGGCCACACCACAGAAACCTGCTCTGAAACTGAAACCCACGATGGACAGAAATCAGCGGATTGGGATGGGCAGCTGACAGGAAGAGCAACAGTCACCCGTACAGAAGGAGGCCTTGAAAGCACCAAGAGCAACAGTCTGTGTCCACCTGGTTGACGGCAGAACTCTATCAACGAAGAAGAGCGTGAGGACGATGAGACTAATGTTGCAGTGGTTGCTCCTGGGGCCAAGTGTGTGTGTGTGTGTGTGTGTGTGTGGGCACTGTGTGCCTGTGCTACTCTGCTGGTTCTACTGCACTGCCTACATGCCGTAATGAGCAGCAGAGGGAGACGTGTGGCGGAGGTGGACAGCAGCAGTGAAGGATGGCGATTTGTCACCTGGGTCCATCGACAGAGACTGACTCTGCCTCGTGTTGAACAGATCATCGTGTATTAGAATTATTTTATAATTTATTTAGGAGAAAAATAGGTTGGTGTTGTAGCCAAAGAATTTATATATACTGTATATGCAGTATATATTTCAGAAAAGGCATTACCAAAGGCCGACAGCCTGAACAGATAAAGCACATATTTTGCTGTGTATTATTAAAAACTTTCTTTGTTTTGGTAGTTTTCTGATTTGACTTATTTTAATGTATTATCTGATTGTGTTCTTAGAGCAAAGTAAAAATAATAATCATGATTTTCTTTTGCAAATTTAGCCTAAACTATCCTTCAGCTCTGACACCACGAGCGATAAAAACCTCATTAAGGAAAAGGTTCCTTGAAAAGACTAATCATACAACCAAAGACATGAAACAGTGACTCCATCTGCAGGTCCATTATTCTGTCAATGTCCACCTAATGTTTTACCTAAATATAGTTCAGTTACTTCAGGGGTTCCCAACCTCCGGTCCGGGGACCAGTGCTGGTCCGTAGGTCATTTAGTACCAGACCAGTAGGACACATCGTGTTCTGAAAATATTGAAATCATGAAACGTACCAATATTTATTTTTCTTTTTTTCTTCTTCTTTTTACTGAAAATGCTGAGCCAGAGGCTACAGCTGCGGGAAACCAAGGAACAGAGTGAACAAAAATATACACCTCAGCATTTAAACAAATAAAAATGACAGATCGACATCAGTCATGTTAGAATGATACATTTTGCGAGGCAGGGCATGATGGGAAAATGAGGCATCTGGAACGCAATCCCAGATAATGGTACCAAACAGCATATTCAAAACAACGTTGAGTTGATGGGTCTTTAAAAAACTCAGCTATCTTCTTGGCCCGGCGGCCCAGAGATGTTGGACTGAAATAGAAAAGTTCATGTTAAAACATTGGATCGCTGTTAAAATTCAACGCTTTCCTTCCGTGTTGTTTCTTTGTGACCGGCAGCAGTTCATGAGAAACAAAATGGTGCTGCTGAACTGTAGCTAAAAATGGACAATAACCAGTCCCCAAAGTGAAGCCAATTCATCTGGATCACACCCTGGTGGCTCACTGCGGTACATCTCATAAGCCCCGCCCCCTCTACGTCAGTGGATGGGAAAATAAATAAATAAATACATACTTAAATTAAATTAAAATAGCAAAAAAATCAAATATGTTGACATCATATAAATGTTTCCCAAGATGATTTATATCATTTTAGGTCGTTCTTAAGTCAAAGAATTATTTCTCCGTAAAGCTTAATTTTACGTTTTTTTTGCTAGGTATCTGTGTGTGAAACGCCACAATTAGCAGCTGAGTTTGACTCGTTATTGGTCGAGAGGGTTCATGTGCAAGACCTCGATACCACAGCTTTATTCCACCGTTCAAACAGCTCAGCGTCTGGTAGCGACGTGTGGTCCTGATAGTTTGGCCTCATTTTGTTCACGGGAAGATTTAGAGACACGTCGTCCATTTCTATTTACCGCCTGTGTTCTCTTTTAATGTCAATTTGTACTTAACTTTTGTTACGCTATAAAGGCCTATTAACCACCTTTAGAATAATTTACTCACGATTTGTGACACATTTAAGATCGAACCAATAATCATCTCTTTGACGTTTGCTAGCTAGCTACGTTGCTAACTATCAAGCTAGATGGCAACAACAGCAGAAATCAGTTGACAAAAAAAAAACAATAATAATGAATGATGTGGCCTTATAGAAATTTTCCGAGATTGAGGAAGGTTTTAATTCGCCAATAAAAATTTGAAAGTCACCGTATTCCTGATGAAATGTCAGCTTAGTGGCTTATGACGGCGGAGATCTGTGACGTATGAAAACACCACCAAAGGCAAAGACATCAAACATTGTTTGGTCGGAGCAGAATGACACAATGGCCTGAAAGTTCAGCCATTAAAGAAACACAACTAAAACATTCAGAGGTCGAGGTGTTAGAACTTCAAGCCGAACTTCGGGTTCAGGAGTCGTACCCAGTTCATCCAAACTGTCAGATGATGCGTAAAGAAAAAGTCCACGTAAACCAAACGTTTGACTTTGAATCGTAATGTCTTAATTCCTAATTTATCTTATCTTTATCTTTTTATGTGATAGTGGAAATATGGTTTTGTCACGCAGAAAAAAGAAAAAAAAAGAAGATTCACCAAAAACTCCAAAATGGCAGCTCGTCTTTCTTAAACTCTTGTGATTTGAGCGTCTGCGTGCCCGCTGAGGGGGGCGCTGTTGCCCTGCCTCGGTGTGTGAATTCATCCTGAGGGCAACCTTTAATCCCAAAACCCTCACTTTGACAAAATGGGAGGAAAAAAAAAAGAACCCAATAAAACGACAGCAAATAACAGTTGTACAAACTGACCAGTGCATCTGTGTTTGAAAGTCTACTTCAGCAGGTTGGAGATCAAATTCAGTTTGTTTTCCCTCACGTGTTTGTAAGTGACATCTTAGCAGTTCCTCATCTGCGGCGGCGTCATTTTTTCCTCAACAGTTTTTACGCTGTACAGATGAACACACTGTTCCCTCTTTTGTTAGTCCAGAACAACAGAGTAGTGGCTCCACCCCAGTCCAACTGAACACAGAGATTTCCAGGACTCTGATTGGCTGATGCTGGAAGACTGGCAGGCCAGCACCGGTCCGTCTTCCATACAGAAACCTAGCCACAGACACAGATATAAAAGGATCAACATACATTAGGCACCGTCCAAAACAGAAAACTGAATATAATTTTCATTTGTCTATTTATTTATTAATTTGTTTATTTATGGCAGTAAATCTGTTCATTATTGTATATTTTGAAGTGTATTTTATTTTACCGTAACTGACCTATAAGAGTGGAGTTTTTTCAGAAACGTTTTCATTTTTATTATTTAGGAACCACATGTCAGTCAAACCTTGACCAGAAATGGTGATTGTTTCCTGTGTTGATCCAGATCATTTGGACTTAGTTTGGGGTTCGTGGCCAAAATTCTGGACACCAACTGGTGACATCACACATGGCCGACTATTTGTCACTGCTTGTGATTCTTTGCTGGGTTTCTCATGGCCAAACCAGCTGTGCTGTGTGGCGGCCTGTTGGACTCCATTTCTTTTTGTTATTGTAACACAGTATTCTAAATGATTTCAGTTTGAAGTTGTCAGTGATGGACAGAGGATTTGTACTGTTTTGATGCCCAGCTGAGAATGAAGAGAGAATTAATCGTCTTGTTTGTATTTAACTTAATTAAAAAAATAAATGAAAATCCCTAAAAAAAAAGCAGGCAGTCGGTGAAGAGAATGGGACTCACATGAGTTAAGAAGATCTCTGATGCTACGTCTGTGACTCAGCCTCCTGCTCTGCCCCCACCACCCTCTCGATGCTCTTGATTGACAGGTACATCTCTTCCTCCGGGTCGTAGTAATAAAACTTACTCAAATAGGAGATAAGTGGCCTGGAGAAAGACAGGAACAGATACAATTTGTTTTTCACTCAATGTTTTTTTTTTGTTGTCGTTGTTCTAATATCTCAGGTGGTGTTTACATGACCAGCCGGTCAGTACCTGGGCAGTGGAAGCTCCTGGATGTGGTCGATGCGGACCATTTGTCTGATACAGAAGCGACAGAGATGTTGTAGGGATTTTACATTGCTAAAGCGAGACACGGGGTATAGCAGCTGAACCGGGGTGGGGGGAAGCCCTGCAACACACACACAGATACAATTCACTGTAAAACCAAAAAAAAAAAAAAAATCACAATGATGGCCGCCGAATCAGTTTCAAAATTCCAGCATTCTACATACAACCCCCTGGAAGATATAGATTAATTAAATGAGCTGCAATGCTGCCATCTAGTGTCTTTCCCTTTCATGTACAGCCGTTTTTCCCCAAAAATATTAATTATGGCACACATCGTTTGTCAAAACCCAGGCGCTGTGTTACCGGGATTTCATTATCAGAGTCAAAACTCAGGCGCTATGTTACCGGGATTTCATTATCAGAGGAAAAACTGAAAACGATTCTTACAGATATTACATAATTCTGCTAATATCGGTCGGCTAATATTATCATATTTTAGAGATTTCCTGTCGCTGACGCTGTTACAAACTTGACCAGAGTCAATTTTCCACTGACTTCCATACTTGACTTACTGTTTTTTCATTCCACAATCCTCACAGGAGCAGGAAGTGAAGCCAGCATTTTAATTTCTTTTTTTTTTTCTTTCATTTCCTCATTTTGGTCACATTTTCTAACACAAGAATTGTTCCTGAACAATTCAGTTTTTGTCCCGCAACCCGTGACCCTCTCATGGAGTGGAGTGTGATTTGACAGACATGGACAATTTTAAATAATTTAAACTGGATACTAATATTGTACCTGAAGCTTTGGCTGAGGGAACCATTCGATTGCTGGGGTTAATAGAATACAGTTGTACTGGTGAAAAACAACCATCGCTTTCCCACATCTATAAATCATTCACAGGCAGACGTAGAGAGGATCTGACAGATTCCTCCTCTCCTCCGTCTGTCAGACACCTCTCACTAAGTAGCAGCTCTAATCCATTTTTGATGCACCTCGGACACATGGCCTATATTTTACCTGGGACTCTGGAGCGCAGAAAGTAGAGGAATTTGCCATTCTTGGAGTGCATGATGGCTCGCTCGATGAACTCCACCACCGAGTGGCAGCGGTCCTCAAACTTCGGGTGACACCACAAACTGAACGTCCCTGGGAAAAGAAGGGGGGGGGGGTTGATTAGTCACAGGTCACAGGTCAAATAAACAGTTTTTTAAAGAACAGGATTCTGTGTATGAGAATAGTCTCCATTAATTAGTCACAGGTCACAGGTCAAATGAACAGGTTTTTAAAGAACAGGATTCTGTGTATGAGGGTGTGTTTGTCTCAGTCTTTCCATATATTTCAACCTTTCTTGTCGTGATCTTTTATTCATCTTGTGATTGGCTGAAGGAACACAGGCTTCACACCATGTGGATCAATTACTTTAACCGTCCAAAGTTAGTAGATAGTGATGTCCGTTTCTGTGGAACGATCTACGACACCTCGCTCCCTCTAATGTTACGATAATTATTTTTCCCGTCCTCCTTAACTACGGCCATTAAATCTCTCGGAGATCGTCATTATATAATTACAAGTTCACAAGTTCAACATGACAGCGAGTAATGAGCTCCGTAACTTGGCTCTGGATTTAGATGCGTTTTCTTACGTCGTACTTCATATCAGGGAATACTGCAGTAAAGGTCCAGAGAGAGAAGAAAAAAGTTCAATGTTCAAAGAAATGTATTATTATTATTATTTATTTAGTTATTTATTTATTTTTGGGACTATGTACCAATAGACCAGTGTTTCTCAATTATGTCCTATTGTCCTGCCATGTCCCCTCCTGCTGGACAGACATTTTTGAGTATGGTAAATGTATTTATTCATCTGTACAAAAACACAGTATGAGTTGCTCACGCCAACGTTCTACATTCAATCTCCTGATGATCAAAATGAGCCGCGATAACGACCTTTTTTTTCTTTGTTTATCCATACAACGCCAATATGATGCTCTCAGGAGAAGAAAACAGGAGCTGACAGCACAACAACTGACCAACTGACCAACTGACGGTCAGTTGGGGTCAAGGTCAAGGTTAAAACGGCTTCTGCGTGCATGTGCATGTGTGTGTGTGCGCGTGTCTCAGACGTCGTTCATCTCCGAACCGTTACAGCTCTGGATTCACGCGGTTCATTCATGCAGACGTGATGCTGTTGATGTGGACGTGTTGTGTCAGTGGACGCTGCACGTCTGAATAATGAATGTGTTTCCAGGCATGACTCTATAGCTGTATGATGGTGACTCATTAATGCACAGACACACTGTGTGTGTGTACGTGTGTGTACGTGTGTGTGTCTCACCTTGTTTGTCTGTCACATGTGTGGCGTGTGGTGTTCAGTGACTTATTTATGGCGTACATCTACGCGGCGGCCTGACTGTACCGCTCCGAGAGTGTGTTTGTGTTTACTCCTGATTTATTCACGCTCGTTCGTTCCCTTACCAACTTGTTGTCTTTCGTTATGCTCTAATTATTTTGGAGAAGTAACAAAATGACAAATGTACATTTTTATTTATTTAACGCTCTGTTTTACCGTTCAACCCTGAAGCCTTTAAAAACACCAATCAAACGGAAAAAAAAACACAGCTTCCGTCAGTGAAACAATGACTTCACTACATTTTAAAAATGTAATATGTAATCAAATATATATTCTCTGGAAGTGTACAATAGCCCTATTTATATGTTCTGCTTCACGTTGCCGTTCCAACAACTGTGCCATAAAAACATCTCTCTCTGTCTCTGCTGCTCTATAGTCCAGATAAAAAAAAGTCAGAGCTTTCAGAACTCGGAGACAGGAATTTCTCAACAATTCTTGCCTTATGTTGCAAGTTTGTGCAACTGTGGCGAATCTGAAGAAAGGCTGATAGAAAATAACACATTTTAACAAAAAGAAAGCGTTGGCACTGAGTTCACAGTTTCCATTTGAGCCGAACAAGTCATTTCTGTTTTTTTTGGAAAGCAAAACAAATTAGAATATGAGAGAAGTCTCGTCTTGGTGAGAGATGATCATATATACAGGAAAAAATAAATAAAATCTGCTCTGACCAAAGAAAAAAGTTGTGACAATGTTTTTACAACTTACTTATTTCACAATATTTGACAAATGTATTTAAGAATTGACATTATATATTACCATAGCATTACTATTAAATTTTTAACCATTAGCATGAGTTAATAGGCTAATGGGAAAGGGGACAATTCAGTGTTTTTCTCTGTGCTTTTTTAAGTACGAAACAGTTAAAACAAGGGGTGGCAAACATACGGCCCGTGGGCCAAAACTGGCCCACTTGGGGTTCTAATTTGGCCCACTTGATGAATTAAAAAAAAAAACACTTCATATTCAGGAAATTTTTTTTTGTAAAATTATTTTTAATTAAATATAAAGATTTGTCTGATGTACTTTTTTTGCATAAAAACAAAGGGGACAACGATTTTTCTGATGTACTTTTTTTTGCATAAAAACAAAGGGGACAAACACTATCTGTCGTCTCAGAGTGTGTTTCCAGCTGCAGTGTGTTTGTGTTGGTGTAGGATGAGTGTGCGTGTGCATGTAGATGTCCTGTGTGACTCATGCTAATACCATACGTGTCCTGCGTGAACATATTTCATGCCCCCGGTGTCGGATGACCAGCATATGGACGTGCATGTTTTTGCTGAGAGCATGTGTTAGAGCCGCTTAGATGCACACATATGCCTGTGTGTGTGTGTCTCACCTCGGTAGTGCTCCATGCGTGTGTGGTGTGTGACTCCCTGCGACCTAAAGCTGAGGCTCAGGATGTATCGGGGGTCGGAGCTGTCTCGGACCAGGAAGGATCCGTCTGGTTTCCCCTTCAGCTTCATCTCTGCGTCCTCCCAGTTCATCGGACCCCAGTACCAGCCACACTGCAGGCAGAGATCGGCCAATCAGTCAGAGTTAATCAGTCCAACTTAATTTGTTCAGCAAATTACTTCACAGATGATTAGCCAAAAATTACCTGAAAGCAAATAGTAATTATGAGAATAAACTAGATTTAAGAAGAAACCGCCGTAAAAACCTGAAGCCAATCAAAAACTCACTTAAGTAACAACAGAAACAGCCGACAAGACAAAGTGAATTACAAATCACTGCACAGAAACATCAAGAAACACAATATAGAACGAATTATTGCAACGAATCATGATGGGATAAAGAATAAAGGATAAAGGAAGAAGAATAGTTTTGGTAGAATTTCTGTCTCTTCAGCTGATGACCTTTGACCCTGTCGTTTAATTCTATTTTTTTCCTTATACAATATCAATATGTTCATTTACATAAGACCAAAAAATACAACCTAATATTAAAACATGACTGGTGTTAAAGCAGCTTCAATAGCAGCCAGGTTTGAATATCCATCTCAAAGCTTTGTTGTTGTGGTCGCTAGGATTTTTATTCAGTTCAATTCATTTTTATATTATATTTAATATTTCATATTACCCGAGACATTACATAAGACTATCTCCAAAAAACTCAATCTTTTACCACAAATATTTCATATTTCATATTTCATATTACCTGAGACATTACATAAGACTCTCTCCAAAAAACTCAATCTTTTACCACAGCCTCAGAAATTCTGAATCTTTCAGACATTTCATCTTTGTGTGTGTGTGTGTTTTTCTTCACCTTTTCCAGTTCTCTCAGACTGGCGGCGAAGTTACTGGCCTCGGAACGTCGGAGGGCACACAAGACGGGGGGCGGAGCCTGTCTGATTGGTGGTCGTGCGTCGCCGGACGGCGGCGCTGTGTGAGGAAGGGCCCGCAGGAAGGCGTCTGAATCGGATGACAGAGACATGTGTCAGAGGTAAACACTCGGGCTCCCCCAACGGTCTACATTTGTGGACGGGACCCGCAAACATGTCTTACCATTGAGGCTGAGACTGTGCTGCATGGTGGCGTGGGAGGGAGGGGGAGGAGGAGGGAGAGGCAGGGGGAGGGACTGCAGGGACGCACCCATGACAAGGAGAGGACCAGGCTGAGGCCCGGCTATGTCATCTGGAGGAAGGACACCAAGGAAAGGAGGTGGTAGGAGAGAGAGAGGGAGAGTGAGGAACAGTGGGGAGGAAACAAGGGAGAAGCAGGAGTAAAAAGGAGGCAAGGGTGAAAAAGAAAAGAAAAGAAAAGGAGGAGAGAGGAGAGAGAATTGGGTGACATATAAACATCAAAATAGGAAGGCAAGAAAAGAGAGAGGGAAAAAAATAAAAGAAAGGAAGGGAGGAAGGAAAGGAGGGAGGATTTCTCAAAAAGTAAGAACGAAGACATAGACAATAAAGAGAGGAAGCAGGAAACAAAATAATGAAAGAAAAAAGTGATAAAGACAGAAAGAAAGGAGGGAAAAATTACAACAAAAAAAAGAAAAATCGATCGAGTTCATCAAATAAAAATGTGGAGGTGTTCATGACGCTGATACTTTCAACTAATAAATTATTAGACTTCAGATTTTAGTTTGGTTTTCTGGAGGCAGAATTTTAGCGGAATCTGACCCGGAGTCAGGATGTGTGTTTAAAAAAGACTCACTTTTGAACACTCATTGCATATTTTTAAATAATATTAAATACTAAAACAAATTCCTTAATTGAATGATATGTAACATCTTTGCATTTTGTGACACTTTTTTTATATTATAACAAGTTACATATTTTGTTTTCTGTTTTTTTTAAAGCTATTTTTCAGTACAATATTGATTTGCTGTTTTGTCCTGTCTATTCATCTAACGAGAGATTCCTGCAGGAACATTAGCACAAATTGCTAACCCATGACCCGTTCTGTTTTCCATGACCTTTGATTGATGCTCCTTTTACACAGAACCTTCATTCCAGCCCAGTAAAGAAGAAGGAGCCTCTGAGAAAGTTCTTATTTACTATTATTCTGCTGTGGAGAATCATCTAAAAAGCACAAAAGCAACGAACGTTACCTAAAAGACTGAGACTCCGCCGTGGAGGAGGGGGAGGCGTGGGAGGGTGTGGTGTGTTCGCCCCTCGCCGTGAAATATCCACGTCCACCAGTGAGACAGTCTCACCTAAAGAATGAGACAAAAGGAGCAGGAATATGAGAAATTAAAGGAAAGGGACATGAAGGAAGTGAAAGTCTGACAGACGCAGTCAAAGCAGAAGTGAATTAAAGAAAAGGCCAGGTTTGCTTTTCAATCGTTGGTTTGCTTCCTGTCGCTGCAGAGTGCCATTAAAGCTGCACCAGGCAGGATGTTTATGGAAAATTACACCCAGCTAATCAGCCTAAATCACTGCAATAAAATAACAGAGAGACCAACATCCCATCCTCGCTAATTGAGACGCTGCGGGAAATATCTCCAAAGTAATATTTTTCAGCGAAAGAAACAAAATCAAACGCTACGAGAGCCAAGTCCCCGGCGTGTTGTCCCAGCATGACGCCTCGGTGGTCTCCTCTGTCTCCTCTCTGGTTGTGGAACATCACAAGAGCACGGCTGCCGGGCGGAGGAACGCCACTGTGGGTGTCTGGGTGATTTTTTTTTTTTTTTTTGCAAAGATTTCAAATAAGTTGTTCATCCTCCGATGGTAACGCCAGCATGAAGTTTGACTTTAATGTTTCTGCCTAATTGCTGGTTAGTGTTGTGTTTCCAGATTGTTCATCAAAGATATGAAATAAAACGCGTAATAATAATTATTTTTTTCAAAGAGGAGATTTTAAAAACAAGCTGAACTCTACTCCGCTCCACAGAGAGTGCGGGCCCGCTGAGCCCAGTGGGATGTTTTGACTTGTTTTCACCAACTGAGCTACAGTCCCCAGCATGTGATTATTATTAGTATCAATTTTATTCTATTTTTACTCGGTTCTACTGTGTAAAACTGTGTGTTCTCACTGTCTCATGTTCTGTGGCGCTTCAGCTCAGAGGCAGTGTCTCTGTCTGTGATGCAACAGACCTGGGGTTGAATCCGAGAACGGCAGTAGTGACAAAAAAAAAATTCTTTTAGGGAAGAGGTGGCTTGGTGGTTAAAGAAGCGGACTTGAATCTGGGAGGTTTCAGGTTCGAGTCCACCAGCCTTCAAGTTACCACTGAGGTGCTCTGAGCAGGTCACCTCACACGTGGCACTTAAAGCTGCCCCCTGCTGGCTATGGTGAAGGGTTAAAAGCAGAGGTTAAGTATTCTTACTGGGTTTTTTTTAATACTGTACTTCTACTCAGTTACCACTCTGTTCTCACTGTACATTATTTTTCACTTTTACTGCATCATCACTACATCAGTATTCCTACTCCAGTCTAATATGACCATAATTCAATCACCACTGTATTACAGCTTATACTTCATACATACTTCACTTTATCACCACAGTACACTCACTGTGTATTTGTACTTCACGGTCACTGATTTATCACAGTATTTTCACTGTATTCCTACCATATTGTTTTAACTGCATTATCACTGCATGGTAACTGTAGTCTCCCTTTGTTTCACACTGTCACTGTCACTGTTGTTGTTCTACCAACATCAACACGGTGTACTCACAGTACTCATACTGTACCCTCATTTGATTTTCCATGTATTACCTCTGTATTGAGTACTCCGATGTTATGTGTGGAATAATTACTTTATCTCCACAGAATTATTACTTTTACTCACTTTATTTTCACTGCATTCTTACAGTATAATCATAACTACTTCCTGTTTTTTTCTCACAATATTCCTACATTCAACTGATAGTATTTTCACTTCAATTTAATTATTTTACAGATATATATATTGGGTAAGATATCCATGTATTTTACATACATTATTCACTGTACTTTTCTGTAGTTAATTCTCACTGTATTCTCTTTTTAGGTGAACTGAAATAACTGTATCCTGTTGCTAAGTAAATAGTAAATATATTGGATTGGATTGGACGACATTCTCACTGCATTGTCACTGTTTTATCACATTATTCACTGTCACATTATTCACTGTGTTATCACTGTATTATGTTATGGATTTCTTGCTATCTAATAACACAGCGTTCTTGTTTGTAGCTCGTAGCGAGCTAGCTATGAGCTAGCTCGCTACGAGCTACAAACAAGAATGCTGTGTTATTAGATAACAAGAAATCCATAACATAACACAGTGAATAATGTGATAGAACAGTGACAATGCAGTGAGGATTTCGTCCAATCCAATCCAATATATTTTCTATTTACTTATTTTAATGCAGTGGAAGTGATTTAATAAAGTAGCAACAGGATACAGTTATTTCAGTTCACCTAAAATGAGAATACAGTGAGAATTAACTACAGAAAAGTACAGTGAATAATGTATGTAAAATTTAACATATTTATTCTTTATTTAGTTTCAGTTCTACTGCCTGACTGGACAGCAGCCCAGAGCAGCCCTGACACTGAAGAGTGGACAGAACGAAGCAGCTCTTACCTGTGAAAGTAGAGAGGGAGGCAGAGAGGGAGGCGGGGGAGAAGGCACTGTGGGCCCTGTTCAGCCTGGACAAGTTGTGGCTGCAGAAGAGACAACAAAACAAGTCAGAATAAATGGAGGATAAAGAACCGGACCAGAGCTGTGGACGTCCGTGAAACTGCAGAGGTTTGGAAAAAGAGCCACGCAGAGACTGTCTGCAATTTCATTTCAAACTTTGTGTCTGTTTGATGTTCTCAGCCCTGGCAGTCAGTACATCTGAAGCCATGTTTTTTAATCACAGCCTTCCTTCAGTGCTCTGCAGTGAATGATGACGAAGCAGTGAGGTGCAGAATAAAGGGTGACAGGCTGCAAAAAGGTTTGAAAAATCTCTGCATCTTAAAGCATGCAGCAGCAAAAGTTCCTGGATGTTTGGGCCAGTGTGGATCCACATTTTTACTTTAGACAATCAGGGTCACGTTAAAAAAAAAAAAAAAAAATTCACCGTTCGCCTCTTATTCTTTTGGATAAATTCAGAAATGTCTGGACTCGGTGAGGTTTCTACTCCTTTCACTTCTTTATGCGAATGTATCGGTCATTTTCTCATCAACAGGTGTACGCAAATCCCTAGTGGTGTGCGAGGGCGTTGCGCGGCGTGTGCAGAAGTTTTATATATTTTACGGTTTTAAATAGAACTTGATCACTGGGCAGCTGTGGATCATTCAAGACGAGTCCAGTTAAATCAGCATTCCTGAATATGACGAAGCAGCTTTTCTGTTGTCTGTGGCTGAAACAGACGGTTAATGTCTGTGTTTCACACCTGTTTTTATTTGTGACTAATCCAAATGATGGACTTATAAATACGAGAAAAGTCAAGTCAAAATTGAGCTAAATTAACAAAATCATTTTACCTCAGAATGTGCAAATTAAAAACATGTGTATCAACAATTATTCTGATAAATTTTACATTTTATTAACGCAATTAACAAGTTAATTTTACAGCCCCAAATTAAATTAAATTAAAATTATATATTAATAATGATGTAATATCTGTAAGAATCGTTATTGTGATGTGTGAAAATAGTTTTGTGGAAAAACTGCTGCTTATATATGTGAAAATGAAAGTGAAAGTGAAACCCGGCATATCAGTATTGCTTGATATCGGAATCAGAAATTAAGATTTTGGATAATATCGTTCAAATTTAAAAGTAATTCCAGTAGTGGAGACGTTCCTTTCTGTATTCAACCACCAGGTCTTACAGCTAACTTTCCAGATTCCAATCAATCCCCCGTCCACCTGCACTCTTGGTCAGGTGCACCATATGCTGCATCCCCCGGCTCCACGCTGTTGTAACAGAACTGGTGGGTGTGTACAGTTGACGTGTTTTCTTCAGGAACCTGAATAATCCCTTTAAGCCGGGTCTCAGGTGACTTCCTGTTTACCCAACGCCTCTGGTCTGGTTCGGTCTCTAATGGACAGTCGGGCACACAGTGCAAACAGGCGCTGACTTCACGACATGCTGTGTTTTATTCACAGCCTGAAGGGTTGATGTGCCCACGAGATTTCCCAGGTTTACTGACTTGTTATTGTCCTGATGTGCAGCTCTCACTAACATTTCTTTTACTGAAATATCTCAAGTTAAAAAGTCCATGACAACGTCCACACAACTCTAGTCTAAAAGGTTTGAGTGAGTGTTGATTGTTCTGACGACGTTTGTGTTTGAAAAACTCCACGGCAGCTCTTGGTGTGCAGAGAATAACTTTAGTTTTTCAGCAGAAATTATTGTTCTTACATCAACTGTTCCTACAGCCAATGACTGAGGGGGAGTCAAAACACTTCTCTTGATTCTATTGTTTTGTTAATTTACAAAAATCATGTCATTTAAATCATAACATGAAGTTTTTGACGGTTTAATGTGGATGAAATTTAAAACTGGTTTGGATCTAAAAATGAATGAATGAAAATGTGCAGGTGCAGCTTCTGTCATCAGAGGTCTGTGTTCCTGTTGTGTCCAAGAACTGTTTTTTTTGGACTTTTATCAAGTCAATTATTGCAGCTTACACTTAATATACTTAATTATAAAATAAAGTACAAAATAATCCTGTAAATGTCAAATTTAAATAGCATCTTAAATGTATGGGACACTCAGGGCCTCATTTGTTCCCAGTAGTTTTTCGGTCAGAGTTGCCCTAGAAAACTTTCACAGAGGTGGCCTGAAGAAAATCTGAGGGACGCAGACCAAAACAGTCCTCCTCATGGTCACCTTGGTCGGGTTCTAGCCCATGATCCTGATCCAGCATCATGTCCTTTTCTCTCCCCTGTATCTTTCTGGTCTAGCATTTAATCAATGACACAGACAACAGACACACAGGGTGTTTTCACTGACCCAGTCAGAGGTCAGGGGTGAGAAGGAGGGAGCAGGCGCTCTGACCATGTTGATGTGTGTCTATGTTTGTCCTTGGTCAAGTCACAACCAAGTGAACCAGTGTGCTGTACGGCTTTGCTCACCTGTCTGTGTCCTGCTCAGCTCCAACAGAACTCGCCATGTCCACCAGGCTCCCAGCTGACGACACCGAGTAGGTGACCGAGGGCCTCTTGTCCAGCAGGTGACTGGAGCCGCTGCAGCTTTTAGTTCTGAACAGTTTACTCAGGCGGATCTTTAACGACCCCTTTTTGGACTTTCCCGGAACTTTGAGGGCTTTATCCCCACCTGCAGCGCGGCCGGTGGGAGTACGCGGCGCGCTGGCGCAGCGCTCCGGCCGCCTCCTGGGTGTCGACGCCTGGCTCAGGTTTGGGCTCGTCGCCCAGGGTGAGTTCTGGACAGGTGTGGGTGACTGGGACATGGCCGAGAGCTGCGCCACTGCACCCACATCCCCAGAGCCGAGCTGCGATAGCCGGCTGCCCGAGCCCCCGTGGACACCGCACATCTGCGCACCTAGATGCCCGGCCGCCTGGGTCGTCGCCGGGGCGATCACCTCCACCTGCCTCCTCAGCTCAGCCTGGAAAGTGCTGATAGAAAAGGCGCCGGACATTTTCTGAACTATTTCCCTTTTTCTGTTGAGTAAAAACTCGCGGCGTCCATTCTCGTCGTCCCCCTCGTCCCCTGGACATCCCTCCATGGCCAGACCGTCCACATCACCGCTGCCCAGGCCCTCCAGCACCAGCAGAGCGTCGCTGGTCTCTGTGGGGTCATCCCCAGGTTCTACCCCTCCTCCCCCTGGCCCGTGTGCACCTTGACACGAACACTGCGGGAGCTCTCCTGCTTTGAGCAGCATCTTGGGCACCGCACCGACCCCCAGTTCCCCGAACCTCCGGGCCAATTCGAATACTGCCCCCTCTCTGTCCCTGGTGGCGCAGCCCCATTTAGAGTCAATCACGGTGAGATGTTTAGATCTCTCCGACAACAAGGGCCACTCGGGTGTGGTAGTAATGAGTCGATGCCGGCGGCACAGATCCGCAGCTCCCTGCATTTCCGCGGATGCGGTGAGCGGCGGATGCGCTGTCCATGTCTGCTCCAGCAGACTCTGCTGCTGCTGCTGCCGCTGCTGCTGCTGCCGCTGCTGCTGCTGCCGCTGCTGCTGCTGCTGCTGCTGCCGCTGCTGCTGCTGCCGCTGCTGCTGCTGCTGCTGCCGCTGCTGCTGCTGCCGCTGCTGCTGCTGCCGCTGCTGCTGCTGCTGCCGCTGCTGCTGCTGCTGCTGCTGCCGCTGCTGCTGCTGCCGCTGCTGCTGCTGCTGCCGCTGCTGCTGCTGCCGCTGCTGCTGCTGCTGCCGCTGCTGCTGCTGCTGCTGCTGCCGCTGCTGCTGCTGCTGCTGGACGTCCACTGGACTCAGGCTGTTGTTATTGACAGCAGGGCCCGGGCTCTGCTCCAAAGCCACTGCATCCCTCGGTTGATTCCGACGCTCTAGTTCTAAAATCCCGTCCTCGTTGCGCATTATGTTGGAGAAGACGAGCAGCTGAGGCCGCAGGCCGGAGCTCGGAGCGAAGTCGAAGCCCTGGGCCTCCATGGGGCTCTGCGGCGGAGGTGGCGCGGACAGCGGAGCTCGGCTCTCCGTCACCGCGGTGTCAGGTGCAGCCGTGCCTTCGCCGCTCGCCTGCGCTTTGTTCAGGCGGCTGCTGGGATGCTCGACGCCCGCAGTCGGATCTCGGCTTATGTCCAAACCCGCTTTGACGCCGCTGTGAGCCAGGACCTCCTTCCCCAGCCCTGCCACCACTCCTCCCGGTGGCAGATTCCCGTTTTCTGCGTCCAAGCGGTCATCCTCGGCCGCGGAAACCAGGCGCATCAACACGAAATCGGGCGACATATCTTGCGCGTTGTTCATAATTATTCCTCAGGATCGCGAAAAGAGAATGATTGGGCGATCTGCTGTTCACATAGCTAACCGCGGATGCATCTTCTTCCCTTTATAATAAAGAAAGGGCCAAGTAGCTGCTGCTGCCTCCCATAAACAGTCTCTAAGCGAAAATGCCAAAAATATTTATATATATCTGGCGATTTTTTTCATCCTCCTCCTCTAGGACAGGAGCGCATCCATCCGTCAGAGATCGGGGGGGATGGATGCAGTTTGCTCCCGGCAGCAGGCGGACCCCCTGGGTCAGACATGCGGTCTGATCTGAGCAGAATAAAAGCCAGTGGAGTCTCCGGTCAGTGACCACAGTCTATGTTCCCATCAGCCACCCCGGCCCCACCCGCTCCTCCTCCTCCTCCTCCGCTCAGCAGCCCATAATAATAACACCATGAGCTCTATGAGCACCAATGATGACAAATGTAGTATTGTAAAATGAGTCTGTGGCATTTCTATGTCATACATGAGCAGCTGATGCCTCTTTCCATCTGCGGAAGGAAAACGTCGTTGTTCGTAAACAGTTTCACACACGCTGTACTGGAGACGTATATGATATGATATGATATGATATAGTTGTTTCATATTGTTTGAAATGAGCTCGATTCGATTTAAATTAGATGAATAGTTAAGGGTTGAGTGAATAAATGAATGAATAAATGGTTATTATTCACATTTGTCCTTAGAGTCGGTGCTAACAGTTTTGTACAAAACACGTGTGGTTGAAAACGCAATATCCATTATAAAATTAGAAACAACTCAATTATATCTTTAATGATTTTACGACAATTTCTCAAATGAAATCACAAATACAGTAATGTATACTTATAGGTAATTATAACGAGTCACATGACTGGTATTTGGTGCTTTGTTTATCAACACGGACACTGTCCTGTGTCTTTTTTTCCCCCCTCTCCCTCTTTGACAGTAATCAGGACTGGATGTCAAAGTAGATCCAGTAGGTGGCAGTAATTCAACTTAAACAGCGCGGACGCTTCTGCTAGAAGAAGAAGCTAGGTTGGTTGTAGTTAAGGTGCTAGGATTAGCTTAGCTTATCTGAGCATCAGAATAGTGTGAATATTATCAGAAATAACGTCTCTAAAAACCTCGTTTGTGTCGTGGAACAATTTCAACCAACATCTATAACAACAGTGCAGTAAAAGAGTGAGTTTTCAAGTGGATGTGTTTAAAAAAAACAATTTGCAATTTAACGGTTTTTTTTTCTTTTTCAGTGCAATTTAACGGTTTTTTTTTCTTTTTTCCAACGGTACACCACCGTCATTAACATCAATCCAGGTGTGTTAAAAAAACGTAAAGAGCATTCACGGTAGTTGTGAAGGTATAAATAAACATTAAGTGAAGATTAGCTGATTATAATATTCAGATAATATTCAGAACAATTTTACTGTTTCGCGTGTGGTTTAATTAAACTTGTTTCAACGATGTAAACATTTAATTTTTAAACAATATAATCTGAAAACTAAGCTCAGAAAAATTCCACCCATATTGATAAAAAATAAAAACAACACGTTTTTTTACTCTCATTTAATTTAGGTGACCTTTCACCTGTCAACAGAAAATGTTACGTTATTTAACCTTATTCAGCCTCTGGACAAATGTTTTTTTTAAAAAGATAAATGTATGAATAATTAGACTGAACACGTTAAAACACTACATTTAATATATACAGATATATTTATTAATTACAGTTAGTTTTAATGTATGTAAATGTAATAACGCATCAGAGATTTTAGCGAAAAAATAAAACTATTTCTTCATCATCTGACATCATCTGAATGACGCCGGAGACCGATGTAACCGCAGTAATTCTGAGTGACAGGTAGATGGCGCTCCAGAACACACAACAGTACGGGAGCTGTTGGATCCTACTTATGTTTTTATAGTGGATGAAGACCATTAATCCTAATGCTCTCCCTCTCTCTTCCTCTCGCTCGTTCTGTCTGTGTGTGTGTGTCACAGCTGAGTGTTATATGTGGAGTAATCAAACTAACACCAGTCTCCACAGGGTTAAATCTGTATGAGATGTAAGATGAAGGTCAAAGATCATTAAGGCATTTAATGTATCTTTGTATCTAATCACTTTCTATGTTTTACGCGTATTTACTTTGCATTGTTTTAAATAATTATTTTAGATGTTTAGAACATTTCTTTAAAAATTGTACAAATTGCTGGATGTGTACTGCACAATAGAAAAGCAGAGCTCTGCACTACAGCAGCCCAACCAGCTATTTTGTCACCATGACCAGCAGGTTGGTTGCTGACTGCCTGGTCAGCCTGTTTCTTACAGCCACTGTGCAGTCTCTCGTCTCCAAAGCCCTTTATAGCCGCCCACAAGAACAAAGGGTGTTATATGCTGGTAATAAGGAGGGCTGAGAAGATTGAGAGTCTTATATATATTTAAGTAATGACTAAGAATCATTACTGGCAGCCATGTTTTCCTTAGGAATTCCACAGTGTAATTATTTATTTATCTATTTATTTATTTTTGGTGTTTGGAACCTGTTAGGATTGTCGTCAGTGTAAAGAAAAAAATTCTGCTATTGTTATTTCACACCGTGAATTTGTTAATTTTTAAATCACCCCACCATGACCTTTTTTTCTAGCTATTTTCTCACTGAAAATTTAGCATTTTGTAATGCTTAAAAACTTAAATATTCCTGTGGTTTAGTTGGTTCTAAATGTTTAGGAAAATGTGACTGTTTCAGGAAGGTAACAAATTAAAAGATAACATTTTTTGCAACAGTAAAAAACAACAACGAATTATGAAGTAATTATGATTTTTTTCTTTTTTTCTTTTTAGATTGTTTGGTCACACTCTTCATCTCCTCGGTGTCCTCCAGCCACTTATTTGCAGCTTCTTCTCTGCAGTGAAGTCCAGGATGGGAGTGGTGTTCGACTTTATGCTTTTGTGTGTGTGTTTGTACATGAGCGTGAGCGTGTGTGTTTGTGTGTGTGTGTGTGTCAAAGGGTGTGATTCTCAGCAACCTGTTGCCATGGCCACCAAAACAAGGATTCTTTCCTGCATCATTCCTCCCAGTGAGGACGTACAGATTCTTCCTTCTTCTTCCTTTGTCGTTCTCACATGTTTACTGCACCATCTCTCCCTCACACTGTGTCTGAGTTTGGACACACAAGCACAGTACAGTGTGAGCACAGCAGTTACACACATGCAAATGCACATGGACAGTTAAATCCCTAATGCTGTGAAAATTGAAAACAGGAATTTATTACTACATTATTTGCAAGTGTTTGCATTTATTGTCATTTCCAGCGTGTGTAAAATTATAGACCTGTGTCTAATCCATCCATCCTATAGTGAGAGAGTTGTTTGCAACTCTTTTTCTTTCTGTTCTCTATTTTTTCTTCTTCCTTTTTGTCTTTTTGTCTTTTTCAAATAGTCTCTCTCTCTCTCTCTCTCCCTCGCCTTCTCTCTCACACACACACAGAGAGATACAAACATACCAGATGTAGCACTCTCATCGCCACCTTTCATCACTGCTGTACATCCCAGTAGATGTGAAGGAGAGGGGAGGGCAGTATGTGTTAATGAAGGGATGACGGGAGGAGGAGGAGGTAAAGTGGGAATGATCTGAAAGAGAGGGGGATGAAAAGTGAGAGGGGAGTCAGGGAGGAGGGAGTGGTTAGAGAACAGGACGGTAGAGTGTTACACAAGCGTCCGTCAGAGGGCTCGAAGCTCTTGGAGCATCAGGAGCGGGTGACAGATGAAGAATCGGGGAGGAATCCTGGACATGGCTTTAAATCATCCCTCCATCTCTACGTAACTCAGCTCTCCTCCTACCTCCTCCTCCTCCTCCCTCCTCCACACTGCACTGGGATTCCCCCAACTTTGAGGCTTCCCCCTCTCTCCTTCTCCCTCCTCCTCCTTTCACGCTCTAGCTTCTTTTTGCCGTATAGCTGCGTTCATTTCGATCGCTCCTCTATCAGGAGCGGCGCAGCAGAGATGCAGGGACTGAAAACTCTGCTCTGAAAACAAGCACATTGACTGACATTTCTCTGCATGTGCACACAGGAGTGCAGAGAGTGACTGTGGATCTGTGGGAGCCAGGGCATGAAGCACAGATGGAGCGGTGTCTTCTGTGTGTGACAGGTAACGCCGGGTACCCAGCTGTGCAGCAGCAGCAGCAGCAGCTTCCTGCCTGAAAAAGTGTCTTTAAAATGTGAAGTTTTTCATCCTCTTGTGCTGGCCACAGATGGTTGAAGGTGTCGTTGGTGTTGGAGCGCCTGATCCTGTTCAGAGTCAGTCCAGGATGGGTTGTGTTTGGCTCCTTCTCCTTCTTCTTCCATTGCTCCTGAGAGCACAGCTGACCCCAGACATTACTGCTGCATCCCCAGTGGAGTTGGACAAAGAAACCAGACCTCTGGCCAACAGCACAAGAGCTTCAGATGTCGCCCCCAGCTCACCCAGTACCCTCGGACCCTTAGAACCTTCTGGGTTTGGAGCCACAGAAGCTCCCACTGAGGTGGTCGATGACTGGTCACCAGCAGAGGTCTACTTGTACACCGGCGATGCCTCCACCCTCAAAGTGACTCGCTGTTCGAGGGCTTACAGCGCACAGGGGCAGAACGGATCTCTGCCTCGCAGCTTCAGCGCCCCCCTCAGGCCCGCTCTGGATGCACTGACTACAACTGCCAACATCCTAAACATGATATTCCAGGCCAGCGACCTGCGGGAGAGCACAGTGCAGGAAGACATTGAATGGTACCACGCCCTGGTCCGTGCCCTGCTGGAGGCCGACTCGCTCATCCGACAGGCCGTGCTCACCTTTGACGCTGACCCTACCGCCTCGGTGCCCCAACTGGTGCTGCGTTCCACCCGCAAACCCATGGCTAAGGTGCAGTCCATCGTTCTCCAGGACTTATCCAAGGCCTGGGGGAGTCTGCACCCACCGGCACCAGCACCCGACGACAGTTGGTTTAAAAGACTGAAGTTCCCCGACTCTAACACGGCATCACCAGCTCTGTCCAAGCGGGTCCTCTTCAACGACCTCAGCACCTTGGACACACCAAAGTGGGCGCAGGGCGACAGCTACGTGACCAATATCAGCGGAGTGCGCTGGGCCAACGCTCCCTTTCTGGACTGTAAGGATGGACGGTTCGTGCCAGGCTGGATGCTCACACTGTCCACGTCCTTCTACGGCCTTAAGCCCGACCTCACACCTGAGTTCAGGTCAGGACACAGACACACACAGACACACACAAAAGAGTGGTTGAAGTATGAAGTTCTAATTAGTAGTCAATGCTGACAGTAAATTGAAGTTTGTCTCCAGTCACATGATCACACCAGTGTCCACTGGTTTATTGATGCCTTGTTGGATTGGTTTTTATGGTTTTTAAATTTTAGCAATAAACAGTTTCAAAATTTGAAAAGGTTTGTACAGGATTTTCTCAGGTGAATGTTTTCAATGACATCATGCTAACTGGTTTTTAGCCACACTTGGTGTGAGAGAATACTTTCAGCTGTCTGTCTTTAAAGTTCAATAATGATGTGTCCATTATGCGGCGGTGTCCATTAGTAGCTCGTGTCGTCGCTCTGTGCTATTTTTCCTTTTATCAGTTACAAACACAAACACAAAGACATCATGTAGATTTGATTAATGGAAGGATTTTAAACCCGCAGCAGCCATGTTTGGGTTCTTTTCTGTCTGACCCGTGACCTTTCCTCCATTAGAGCGGAGAAACATTTCAACAGCCCACAGAGGGAAAAAAGGTGTTTTTGTTCAAATACTTTAATGTTATCTGGTCTTAGAAAAGAATCCATTTAGGGGTCACACAGTTTTGTGTCAACAAAATTTGGAGGAACAGCTTTTTTACTGTCCCTGGTTCTCATTCCTGTCAGTTTCTAGAGCCATTGTTTTTGTTCTGTTCTTGTTCTGTTCTTGTCAACGTAATATGTGAAGTTTATGTCCCAAAGTGAAATGAATAAGATTTGGTCGTCACTGTCACGACCACTGCAGCCTGTGGAGTCAAAACAGAGTCAGCTGACAAGACAAACCTTCACTTAGAAACTTTTGCCTCTAAATTTATACTTTGACTCAGTAATAAAGGGACACAAACGAGGCGCTGGCGGTTAAAGAAGCAGACTTGTGTCCGGAAGGTCACAGGTTCAAATCCACCAGCCACCAGGTGTCTCACACACACACTGCCCCCTGCTCACTAAGGTCATGGGTTAAAGGCAGAGGCAGAGACATTTCGGTGTAGGCTGTGTCACAATGACAACAAATCACTTTCACTGCAATTTTTAAATATGGTGGTCACAAACTGAGACGATAGAAACATGTCCACAAACCTGTGTTCAGAATATGTAAAGAAAACATCTCCAAAAATCTTAATGTGGACTGGAGATGATGGGACAATATATATTCTAAAGGTCAAAGCTAAAGGTCACAGTAACTACATATTTGATTGGACGTTGTTTATTTACCTTTAAATGTATTTGATACATTTTTGTTGTAACCTTTGACCTTTGTGTGTGTTGTCAGAGGTGTGGTCCGTGTGGACGTCAACGTTCAGGACATGGACTTGGACCAGTGTGCCACAGGTGACAGCTGGTTTGCTGACACACACCAGTGCAACCGCACCACCATGGAGGTGAGAGACTTACACTGGATACTTTTTTTTACTTATGGCCAAAAGCTACAGTTGAAGATTGATAGAAGAAGAACAGATTGTGATTGTGGTCACATGACTGAGATGTGACCATGGACAACAGGCTGTGATGTTCTTCAGGAAGCTTAGAAGGTTATCTTGACATCACAAAGTCTGTGTCGACGGTGTAGATCCTGCCGACTTTCAGCTGCTGGGTCGCTCTTCTTTTCGTCATCAAAAAAGGGTTTTAATCTAAAATGTGAACTCATTTTTGTGGGTTTTAGTTTCGTGACACAAAGATCCTCATATTGTCTACAACCTCTGCAGGTTTAAGCCCTTCCTGTCTGCACTAATTGCACTGTTTCTGCATTTATCCCTTCACCCGTCAACACAACACCTCGGTCCCCTGCCCGTTTGGCGTCCCATCCTCCAACACTGCTCAACCTCCTGCTTTACTCTCCCTTTTGCCCGCCGGCCCGTCTGTCCAGATCCAATCCCCTGCCTGTCATCTCAGCCATCTATTTAAAGATGGCTGTGCTGGGCGCCGGCTAGGGGATGATCTTTTTGGATTAAGCTGATAATCCAGCTGACACACTTACCCTTTTATGCACAAGTCTGAAACACAAGGGAGGGTCGGTTCCCAAAATCCCCCAAAATAGCTTAACCATAAATGAAGGAAATAAATGAATGTCATGTAAAACTGGAAAAAGAAGCTTTAGAATTATTTTAGTTTAGTTAAGTTTGGAAGGGAAGAGTACCGTACGGCTATTTTAACAGGATGGGGCTTCATCTTCCAGTTGTTCTGTATGTTGGTGTTTATTTCTTCTTTTTTGTCAATTGTAACTAAACTACACAAAGGTTTAGTGTCACAATTTTGGAATTCATGCTTTAGAATTATTTTAGTTTAGTTTAGTTTGGAAGGGAAGAGTACCGTACGGCATCAAAAATCAAACACAATACTGTTGATTGTTTTCCTCTGAATTTTACTCTGTGCTCCTGTAACTCTAACCTGGTTATTTATTTAACCTAAATCTACAATTTCCCAAAGGAGACTCTGTACTGTACTAAAACATGACTGTATACATCAGTATGTTCTGCAGTGAATTTAATCAGATGTCCCTGGGGAGCACTGCTCACCCTCAATATTTCGTAGAAAAGTAGAAAAAGACTGAGTACGGCCATCGAATCACAGTAGTCCCCACAGGGAGGAAAAGTTTTCTGAATCTGAATCTGAATCTAAATTTGAATCTTACTACAATGTAACGATGTCATAGGAAACCTGCAAATATAAAAAAAAAAAAGAAAAAAAGAGATTAATTTCCTGAATGTCTTTATGTAATCAACTTACATGGTACAGAGGCCATGTTGTTGCTAGTTGCTAGTATAAAAGTGACAGATTGACACAGTGAAGCCAAAGCTTCGCTCTCTGTTGAATTGAAATGCAGTTACGAAGAGAAGGCGATTGAGTTGACTACTGCATTTTAATCCATATCACATTAACGTTTCAGTCTGTGTTTGTCATTGGTTCTGTGAGCTAGCAAATGTGGGGTCAGTGTGTGTGTGTGTGATTTTTCCCTAGAAAAGGATAATACCTTGGCAGTGCAGCTATTATGTATCCATTTAGCTTTTAACTTAGATTAACACACAGAGCATCCGTGTGTGTGTGTGTCGCTCTGTGTGTGTTGGGTTTCTCTGCTTCATCTCACAGTTGAAACAGACACTAGTATCAGCAGCACATGGAGCTAGACTGAGACGAGAGTAACGTGACCTCCATCTTCAGCTGTTTTTTTACATCCTGTGGTGTTGAACGTGTCTGTGTCATTTTTTGTTTTTCTTTGTTCAGAGCTTTCTTTGCCCTGAGTTCAGTGATTTTTAAGACTTCACACATTTTTTAAAAACCTTCAATGTTATAGTATTCAAATTAATAACTAGCCCTTTACTTAGAAATAGTTTTTTTTAATTATTAATAATCACAATGCAAATATTCCTGGTGTTGGTTCAAATATTAATAATCACAATTCAAATATTCCTGATGTTGGTTCATTTCGTTTTTCTTTTCTTTCTTCTCTAGTGATTCCAAATGTTAGTAACCTGATGTTCAGATGGAACAGAGTCTGAGACTAGGATCAAACTTTGACTACAATTAAATAGTTAAAAAAAAACTCAATACATAGTTGTGCCTATAGTATCCCATTATATCGCAATATATCGTATTTTTGTCCATGTATCGTGATGCGCATCATATCGACAGATTCTTGCTTTGATTCTTTTATTTGTACAACAAATATCCAAAATAGGACTTTGTGTCTGTTGGCTCGATCTCTCATACAGTCAATACAGAAACAGACAAAGTTGTTAAAGTCAGTTAAACCAAATGAAGGAAATAAAAGAATAAAAGTACAAATTGTCCAGATTAACAGATGTCACATAACGACACTGAAATCTTTGTTTCCGTGTACTACAGTGCATACCAACACCAGGTCGAGGTTTTCGACTGGGTCAGTACTGCTGTGGCTGTAAGGAAGGATACTACAACCCAGACAACGTTCCTGGAGAATCAGGTAAGTGGAGCAGGTTACATTTGTCCTCACTGCCTAAAAAGGTTTCATCTATCAAAATAAAAACCTGCTCTGAAGTTTCATCTTCACATTCAAGTCTCTGTCAAACAGCTCTGTAGATGTAGGTGCTGTCAACCGTCAAAACACCCCACCCCCCGACGCTCCTGAGACCTTGAACAGACAGACGGGATTCATCTTAGAACTGCTGCCAAGCTCTGGTTATTCAGGGCAGAATAATAATATGTGAAAGTGAATGATTTGTCATTGTGACACTGCACACACACAACAAACCTGAAAACTTTCAAATCCAAGTCCGTTTCCTCAACCCCCAAACCACCACAGCTCCATATCTAATATCCAATCAAAGGCCAGCAAAAGTGTTTTAAAAGTATCAAAATTTAAGAGAGTAGAACCTTAGTAGTTACCTTTGGTAACATTCATGTGACTGCAGTGATCATAACTGCTTAACTATTCAGGCTAAAAGATGTTAACGAAACACCAGAAACATGTTTTTTAAAAAGCTAGAAAAGCAGTGGAGAGTCAGTATAAAGCTGGTATTAACCCCCCGGGATTTTCCCTGCGATTTCGCTCAAAGAAGCTGCTGTTTAAAAGGACTGTGTACTACAGACAGTACTGTGTACTACAGACAGTACTGTGTACTACAGACAGTACTGTGGAGATGCAAATGCTACATGTGGACTGTGGGTCTCTGTGCCGTGTTAAGGAGTTTGTGGGTGTAAGTCACATGCACATTAGGCGGTAATGCATGTGTCTGTGTGCGGTGCAGATGGTGGCCCTGTGAACCGCAGCGACAACGGCACTACGTGTTACCCGAACATGCCCATCTGTCTCCCATGCTGGCCGGGCTGCAAGAGCTGCCAGGATGGCACCCCCTGCTGGGTGCAGCAGAACTGGCTACTCAGGGCCGCCGTGTTGGCCGTCCAGGGGGTCTTCATGACCCTGGTCTTCGTCAGCATGCTGGCAGCGTACAGGCATCGACGTAACAGGGTGAGTCAGACAGACCTTGGACAGAACCCGTGAGCCATGAGAAATTACAGCATCGAAAAACGTTTGGCAGATTGTTGAGGAACGCACAAGACGTTGAACTGAGTTGAAGGCAGCATCAGTACGTGTGACAGTTCCATTGGATTGACAAAGCTTTGTTGTCTTTAAATGATTGTACTGCAGTACTGCTGAGTAGATGTATGAATTATAATGTTGAGCTACTGACTGTCTCATATGAAGGCACTTACCTTAGCCCTGCGATGGACTAGCCAGTCTAGCTGCATATAGGGCCAAACAACCATTCACTCTCACATTCATACCGATGGTTCATTTATAATATCTGATCAACCTACCTCTTATTAAGCCTGTTTTTGGGGCTGTGGGAGCATGTCGCAGTACCCAGAGGGAACCTGCGTGAGAACTCCATACAGAATGGCTCGGGATGCTAAAAAAAAAAAACAGTAAAACACATTATCCACAGGTCTGGTCAAGGTTTATGGTCAGGTTGATACAGTTGTAAACAATAACATGAGGCTGCCACAGGAGGCGCTAATAAGTACGTGGTTGCAACTCCGTGGCTTCCACACCTTAAACAGTGTAATGTCACATCACAGACACATTGTTTTCTTAAATGATGTCAACATTGCATGATGCAACACAAAAAGATTTAAACACTATTTACTCTCAACAGTTATCTGAGAGTCGGAGCTCATAACTAAACTAATCCCACGGTGGACTTTAGTGGTGAGGATCAAACATTTCTTTTCACCACTCACTGGTTTTATTAGGTGAACTCTATCTCTGTCATATTTTCTCTGATCCACAGATTAGGATTGAACTCCGTCGTCCAACATTTCATCTCCTAACTGTTGCTTTACTCCTTTTCTCCTCAGAGGATCCGAGCGTCCGGCCTCCTGCTGCTGGAGACCATCCTGTTTGGCTCTCTGCTCCTCTACTTCCCAGTGAGTGTGTGTGAGTGTGTGTGTGTGTTTGGGGGGCAGCAGTTGAGATTGTGGCAGATTAGAGCTCTTTACAGATCACTGCACCGGGCCATGGATTATATCATAATGGACGATTTGTGGGAGGGTGAGCGGGGTGTGTTGGAGAACGTGAGAGAGTGGGCGGGTGACCGACGATTCTCAGCGGGACTTACTTATGTGCTGATTGATCGTCGATCAATTATTCGATTTGTTGCGGGACTTAAAGTGTCAGTAAAACAAGTCTGCCGTGATTTTTATCTATTAGTCTGTCAGTTAATGGGACGTTATCTTTCTGTGTGTGTGTGTGTGTGTGTGTGTGTGTGTGTGGTACTGCCAGAGAACTGTGCTTCAGTGCTTGAGTTTATAAGAATGGACAATGATTTAAACAAACATCTCATTAAAGGCACAAAAGGTGCAGAATAAAAAGCCCGGCCCATGACTGGATACCAAAATAAACTTTACAAAAGGTGCAGAATAAAAAGCCCATGACTGGATACCAAAATAAACTTCAAATAAATAATAATAATGTTAATAATAAAAACGAGTGTCCAGTAAAAGCCATGTGTATGATATGACAAGTCATATTATTGACACGTACCAGTCCACATACAATGATGTCAATTTTCAAACACCACAGAAGAAGAAAATACTATAGAACTTGTCAGTTCTAAGTAAAACAAAAGTTGACCTTTGATTGACCATTAAATTAAAAACATTAACAGATTATATATATATAATTATATAGTGTGTATTATCTTGTTTTATTGTAATGTATTTTCCACCACTCCCTCTGCAGGTCTTCATCCTGTACTTCAGGCCGAGCACCTTCAGATGCATTCTGCTGCGCTGGGTCAGAATGCTTGGCTTCTCTATAGTCTATGGCACAGTCACACTGAAGATGTACAGGTGCAGTACACTGTTCTTATATTCTGGTCTGTGAGGTAAGCAGTTATTTGTATCTGTCATTTAATTTTATGAACCAACAATGCAGCTAAAAAAACAAACAAATAACAAATAAAATGTTATTAACAAATCTAGCACTTTAGCTATGATTTCCTTAAGTTGATACAAGTTAACACAACAATCTCCTGAACAGTAACAGTTATTACCATGTGGTCGACATGGTTATAACTTCATTTCTCTGCTGTCGCCTCTCCTCAGGGTTCTGAAGGCGTTTCTGTCACGCACCGCCCAGAGAGTTCCCTACATGTCCAGCCTCCACCTCCTGAGGATTCTGGGAGTGATGCTAATGACCGTCAGCTGGTTCTTGTGTGCGTGGACAGTCGGTGTCCTCCAGAACCGAGACAGGAACATTCCAGTGTTTGTCACAGGAACCACATCAGATGGACAGGGTTTCAACCTGTGTTACCTGGATCGTTGGGACTACATGATGGCCGTGGGTAAGTCAGGCAGCAGAAAGACGGAAGTTGGTATCTCTGAGGTCAAATCTCTCAGGGCAGCTGTCGTATGGATTTGTTTTGGAAAGATGAGTAATGAAAATAAAATCCTCTGGGAGGCGATGTTGACGGTTTAGAAAACACAATGTTTAACTCAAATTTAAGCACTAAATCAAGGACACAGCACATGACGCTTGAACTTCCTGTTTGCCGTCAGTCGATAATTGACGCTAATTGAACTTGTATTTGTTGTTACCTTTTCTTTTGCCGCAGCTGAACTTCTGTTCCTCTGCTGGGGCAGCTCCCTGTGGACCGCTGTCAGGACGGTGCCCTCAGCCTTCCACGAGCCTCGCTACATGGGCATTGCCATCCACAACGAGCTGCTCCTCTCCTCTATGTTCCACTTGTTCCGGTAAAAACAGTTTGATCATTTAATGTGAATAAAGTGAGAACGGCAGAATTACTGATTTAAACCGACGCTCTCTGTCGCCCCCAGATTCACCTTCATCTCTCTGCATCCTGACTGGATGCTGCTGCTCTCATTTACACACACTCATGTCACCATCACTGTGACCCTGGCCCTGCTCTTCATTCCCAAGGTACCTGTTGGTTTTAATCATTAAGTATTTCTTAGTTCTAGTATGATGTAGATATGAGTTAGTGTACGAAGAACACAATGCTAAAAACCCATCATCAACCTTGTTGTTCACACTCTGACAGTTACGATGCAAACTTGTTTGGCCAAGTTTAGAGCTTGCTTTTGCTTAAGAATGTGCTTAAAATATCCTCACTAGTGCTGTGTAACATGAACCAGATACTTATGAGACACCATTGTGTGTATTTCCCATCAAAGAATACACCATTGTGTGTATTTCCCATCAAAGTGAAAGCAACAGTGAAAAAAACAGTATAAATCTTAATTTGTAAATTTAGTTGTTGTGAGATGATTTTTTTTCTAAGTCACCAAAATTGTGAGATGATTTTTTTTCTAAGTCACCAGAGATGTGTGTTTCACAGTTTCTCTACGTCTCCAAACCTGGGAGAGAGGAGATTGCAGCCGAGGTGTATGAGGATGAAGTGGACCTACGGAGAGCCGGCTCTTACCTAAACAGCAGCTTTCACTCTGCGTGGAGTGAGCCCGGTGTTGACCCAGATGATTTTCGGGTAAAACCTCTCATTCCTTTAGCCAACGAGTATAATTCTCAAAAGGTGGAAGAAAATCACAAGGTCACACACGTTTACAAAACTAAATAAATGTGTCCAAATTCCAGTGCTGTAGATAGAATGGACCGGCTGTACATTTATCATAACTAATTTATAAACAGTAAAAGGGTCAGCAATAGAATGGACTTTCATGTACGATGTGGATCCACACTTTTTCCTTTTCTTATCCTCAACTGTGATCTTACACAAAAACCTGTCTTCTGTCTTTCCTTTGGCTTCTGTCTTTGTCTCTTCCTCTCCTCAATCCATTTTTCCTCTTCCCAAATCCCTTTTCCTTTTTTTACACGCAACAGGATGAACTGAAGAAGTTATATGCCCAGTTAGAAGTCCACAAGACCAAGAAAATGGCCACCAACAACCCTCACCTGTCAAAGAAGCGCAGCTCTCGATGTGCGCTGGGGAGGTCTATCATTAAACGCATCGCCGAGATCCCGGAAAGCATGAGCCGACAGTGCAGCCGCGAGGAGAGGGACGGCTCCTTCCGCAGCAGGAGTGTCAATATGTCAGATTCTTTCCGGAGGGGCCCAGATACAGTCAGTATCAGTTACAGGAGCTCGACGAAATCCCCTTTACCATCACCATCCATTCACAAATCCCAAAGTGATCATCATTATGTCAAAGAAAGAGAATCCTCCCTGTGCGGATCAATGTTGAAGGCGAATATCATTAAGAGATCGTCCCAGAGGTCGGAGACAGACTCTTTAGATATTCCACAAGGGGTCTGCAAATCAGCCAGTGCCCAGAATCTGACAATTGACACAAATCTGCTACATCCCGATCACACCAGGCTTCATAAGTCCTGGAGTTTAACCTCCACTACCAACCATTCTGCTGAGAATGTATCCCAGGTAAACAGAGGAAGTACAGTGCTGACAAGATCTAGGCAGAGTATCAGTGATCAGACCCGAAGTGCTCTCCTGTCCGAGTCATTTGACAAAGCTGAGGTCTGTCCTTGGGACATAGATAAAGAAACAATAGGAGACAAGAACCAGAAGCATGTCAGCTATGCAAACTCTGAGGACCATGAGACACAAAGACCTGCATCCCCACTGGCATTGGTCTGTCCCTGGGATCATTTATCGCCCATCCAGAAGACCCCCTCAGAGGACAACGGGCTTCTCTGTGAGTCACCCCAACCACAAGTGTCTGTGTCTGCAAGCGCACCAGTCTCTCCAAGACCAAAGATCACCAAAGATCAGCGTGTGTTCTCCTTCCGCAATGCCACCACTAAGTTGCTCTCTGTGAAATCAGTAATCGGATCCATGGACGCTGGTAGTAGATCCAGTAAGGAATATTTAAATAAACAGGATTCCGTCTCCCATATAAGTCAGGGAAGTGCTTCTCCAATGCCAAGGACAGGGACATCCAGTAGACGCCCGAGCGTCGACAAGAAGACACTGCAGAAGAGAAGTATGACAACAGCAGATGGGAAACCATGTCTTGTAAAGCAGAATGCGGTCAGGTTGTCTTCAGGAGATTCTTCAGACAGAAGTCCAAGAAGGCTTGTGATTGTAAAGTCTGTTGTTTCACCTTGGGACGTGGATGATATACAAAAAGACGGTAACTATGAAAATGTCTTTTTGTCCAGACAGAACAGCAAACGCAGTAGTATTAGTTCATGGGACACTGCAAGCAGTTCGAGAACTCCTTCAACTAACAGAAGAGGTAGTTATTTAATCACACCAGTCCGTAAAGCTTCTCATGCAGATATTTGTCCGTGGGAAGTTGGAAGCACTTTACTGCCAGGAGAAGGACAAAGGCTGCATCAAGGCAGCAAAGTCGATATCTGTCCTTGGGATTCTCAACCGACCGGACGATCTAATGTATGTCCATGGGAGCCTCAGGAGCTCGGAACCATAAGAAGACAAGGGAGTGGCCGAGCTGAAGTGTGTCCATGGGACTCCTCGGATAATTCTGCTATTTCACAAACTGCGTTGTCCATGGAGTTAGTTAGACAACAGTCTGTACAACGTGCAACGTGCAATAACGAACACGCTAATATTTGTCCGTGGGATGTTCAGGAAAAGCCAGAGGTTGTTTATGAAAATATAAATCCTGTGGAGACCAAGGGAGCATTGACTGTACCCAGTCGACCGGGGGTTCAAAGACCTGGCGTTCATCCTGAGCAAAAATGTCAAACAGGGTCTTCTCACCTGGACCTGGGTAAACCAGTGAACAAAACGGCAGACAGTTGCCCATGGGATTTCCCTGAGCCTCCTAAAATTATGGATGTTATTTCTCCATGGGAAGAAGGAAGCACAGGACCTGCAAATCAAAACTCAACATCACAAATGACCATCAAGGTGGACATTTGCCCCTGGACAACTGGAAATCAAGATAAAAAAGAGAACTCGAAGAAGGTGGAATTAGGAGAACCAGGGACCTACAGAACATGCCAGGGTCAAATAACACAAGATCCACCTCGGGCAAATATCTGTCCATGGGAGACTGAGGACGGGGCAGTACCTAAAGCATCAGAGAAATTGGAACAAAGACAAGAAAGATCTCCTGAAAGTGTTCTGAAAAAGCAAGAGAGTGTGCGAGCAGATGTTTGTCCCTGGGAAACGGACAACACAAAGTTTGCTAAGAAGCAAGATAGCATTAGAGAAGATGTGTGTCCATGGGAGACAGAAGAACCAAAGGTTCTCAAGAAACAAGATACCTCGAGAGCAGATGTTTGTCCCTGGGAAACGGACAATACAAAGTTTGCTAAGAAGCAAGATAGCATTAGAGAAGATGTGTGTCCAAGGGAGACAGAAGAGCCAAAGGTTCTCAAGAATCAAGATAGCTCGAGGGAAGATGTTTGTCCATGGGAGACAGAAGAACCAAAGGTTCTCAAGAATCAAGATAGCTCGAGGGAAGATGTTTGTCCATGGGCCACAGAAGAACCAAATGTTCTCAAAGAGCATGATAGTTCTCGAAAAGACATTTGTCCATGGGAGACAGAAGAACCAAAGGGTCTCAAGAAACAAGATCGCTCGCGGGCAGATGTTTGTCCCTGGGAAACGGACAATACAAAGTTTGCTAAGAAGCAAGATAGCATTAGAGAAGATGTGTGTCCATGGGAAACAGAAGAACCAAAGGTTCTCAAGAATCAAGATAGCTCGAGGGAAGATGTTTGTCCATGGGACACAGAACTGGGACACAGAACAAACAAAGGTTCTCAAGAAACAAGATAGCTCCAGGGCAGATGTTTGTCCATGGGACACAGAAGAACCAAATGTTCTCAAAGAGCATGATAGTTCTCGAAAAGACATTTGTCCATGGGAGACAAAAGAAACAGACATTGCCAAAAATCAAGTGAGTGGTACAACAGACGTTGGTGTGGCAGATTCAAAAGCATCAACTGATGCAGATATTCCCAACAGTGAGAAAGATAAAAACAACCAAGTTCTGGGAGAAGACGGTGTCCAGCCTCCGGCCGACATGAACACAGAACAAATGGATGCTTCCAATTCTAATTTAACTCTGGGAAGGCGTGACGCTCTGTGTCCCTGGGAGTTGGTGAGGAGCAGATCTAGTTCTTTCACAGATGCTTCAGATGTTTTTACATGGGAACCTGAAAATATTCCAGAGGAAGATGAAGAGGATGACGCAGAATGTGCCGCTGAGGCGCTGGTATTCCCACCTGACTTGTAACGGGAATCTGACCAGCAGTCACATTTCTCTATTTAACATACGTAGAAGGTGAACTTGATGGAACAACGGTGTGCAGTAACCTGCTTAACTTTAAACTCTGTGAATGCCTGAGCTGAGAAACAGCTCCACCTGCAGGTGGAAAAACCAAACTAATGAGGACGTGGACTTTTAAGTTGTACAAAACTAATTGATCAAGATTTTTTTTTTTTTTTTACTGAAGCACACATTGCAGACTTATTTAGTCCAGCAAGACCTACGAGGAGCTAACCTACAGACCTACAGGAAAACTGTAAAAATCTAAGACCATTTTATTGAATCCTATTTTCTTCCTGCTTCAACCCCCCTGTTTATATATTGAAAGTGTTTTGTGTCTTTTGCATAGTTTATTGTACATGGTTAAGAGTGAGTGTACCACGAAGTATGAATCTAAATAATCAGATCAGGTCTGCAGCCAGTGCACACACAGGTTCACAGAGATCATTCTTTTGATTCCATGTAGACACACACATATATGTGAATACATACACACTAAGGCTCTGTGGTGCAGTTCTGTGTATGTGCCAAGACAGAGACAATTATTTATATATGAATACTTCTATATATATTTATTTATATATATATATGAATTAATACGTACTCATGACAGTAACTCATTTTTAAAACTGTTGTACAATCACTTATTCTGTGAATTTGTCCAGGGAAATCACTACATCAGTTATACAGTCTCCATTTCTGTAATCTCATCTCTTGACACTGCCCTGAATTTGGGGCCTGGTTTGGTGAGAGTTCGTGCTGTACTTCCTCTTCCTTTACAACGCTGATGGGAAGAGACGTGAACAGAACAATTATCTTTTTTTTTTTATTATTTCCTCTGGTCGACATGCAAGTGTTATGGTCACAGAAATAAATCATACAATTTCTGGAGATTTGAGCAGTTGTATTTAATTTAAATGTACATGTGAAATTGGTCAAACAAAACCTAGAAAAATGTAGGCCAAACATGACGTGAGCTGTTTCAGACCACAGAAACGTCCCCCAATGATATTGTGAATCATGACTGGTGACAGTTGCTGTTCTTCTGTGGGACGAATAGTGACATCTTGTGGCCTACTTATACCACTGTACAGCTGCAGGTTTAGGAATCTCAATTTTGACGGCATCAGGCTCGTCTTCAGGACGAAGTTTGGGACCCGGAATCATGATGGTCTGAACACAGACAAGGAGCAGATGAGCAAATGTCAAACAGACAGGCCACAAATGTTGATTGTTCCTGTTAGGAACCTGGATTTTTTTTAAATGTCAATTTCCTCAAGGCAGAACCAAAGATCCTTGAGAGCATCATCAAGTTCACCATCATAATTTTCTTACCTCAGAGTCATGTGTGTTCTAACAAGATAAACAATGCAAAGAAGTATGTTTTCTACCAATGAAGGAGGTCGGCGTGTTACGGATGAATAAAAAGTTTAAATGAAGCAAAGTCAGTACTGACTTTGTTGCAGTGCCTAATCCTTTCAATTGATTAAAAAAACAAAACAATTTTAGACACTCACCTTAATAATTGGATCTTTAGCAGGAGCCCAGGAAGGAACTATTTTTCCATGTAGCCTCCAACGTCCATAGCGGTTTGTGAGGTGTCGCTCTATGACCAGGTACTCCAACACATCCTTCGGCTGCTCCTCGCTGCCCAGCATCAGCCGCCCGAATCGATCATAAATGGCCAGAGTCTACATCCAACATGAAAGGGTTTATTAACTAAACTAGGTCATTAACTGTGGGCTGAAAAATAGAACACTTCTAACGAGAGTCACTTTTATACAAATGTGATGCAATGCAATGAAAGTTGGTGTACATTCACATGAGATACTCATTGCATCGTATGGCCCCAAGTCTTTTTTGAGACGCTTTTGTTGCTACATTTGAAATGCACTCTGCACATAGACACTTCAGGGTAATGACCCTCCCCCCCCCATATGTGGACCCTACCTGTTTGGAGATGACACAGAAGCCCTCCCCCTCCCTCCCATATGTGGACCCTACCTGTTTGGAGTGCATGCGCACCGTCACTTGGCCATAAAGGTTGTCTTTACTGATCATGTCAGGACACCGGGAGTGCACCACTCTGGGGGGCTCCAGAGACTCCACAAATGCCCATCGAATTGTCTTAAGACGGTTTCCCCTCGTCATCTCCTACAGGAGCGTGATGGACGGGAGCACGTGAAGTTTTGGATACAGAAACATAAAACCACCATTAAGCCGACAGAGCAGCTGCATTTCTCCACAGACTGAGAACTTACCGGATAACAGCGCTCCGTGACCAAAGAGTGAAGTTTTACTTTGTCAAAACTGCAACCACAAAAGAGAGAGAGTCTTAAACTTCAGCCTGTCAGGAACTTAACTATCTGTACTATATTTTGTGCAGGCAGAGAGGCATTAATTCCAGGTTCTGTAAATCCTGGGAACTTTATCATATATCAAAATGACACTCCCTCCGTCTTTTATAACAAAAGCTCTTTCTGTTCAATTTTCCATTTCATGTGCCGATGATGGAACTTTCTCAAGCTGCTTGAGCCGACAAATCTGAGGAAGAAACATCTGATTTTCTCACTGTGTCAGTGCATTGTGGGCCTCGATGAAAATCTCCTGAGCTTGCTCGGCAAAAGTCTTTGTTGAGAAGAGCGAGTCGTACTCCCTGATTTTACGAAACCTGTGAACACAGAAAGAGATGGTGTTCAGCATTGGGTGTGAATGGAAAAAAGGGTTTTCATTACAAATCAGACCAAAAGTGTCAAAAAACAGGAGCAAAAAGAAATGTTAAAAAAAAAAGATCTTACGCTAGCTGTGAGGCAGCAGTCTGTCGGAGCTGCACCGTTCGTTGTTTTAAGCCATCTTTAGACAGAGTAGACAGACGAGCATCGCCCTCTGGTGGGATGTAGGGGTCGAAGACTCCCACTGATAAACAATATGAAGAATACAGACTGAGCCAGTACAGCAAATGATTGTTTGTTTTTAAATCATGTTTTTGCTAATGGTGGTAATTCCATAAGGTGGCTGTAATGGGCTCTCAAATTAGTGCAGGCAACATTAAAGTGTTATAGTTTACAAAATACAATTGTGAATCATTTGAGACAGCTTTGGTGTGCGGAAACAAAATAGAATATGTAAAAAAAAACCATTACCAGTGCAGGAGATGTTAATTTGCCTCTCAACAATCTCCTGTGGGGGAACAGTGCCTGCTGCTCTCAACCTTTCTTCTATGTCTCTGTTCGTCTCCTTCTTCTTGTTCACTGCTGGAGGGATAAAGTACCTCTTCTTTGTCCTGACCTGCATGGAAAGCGGGAGGGGATGTTGTACCTCCAGAGGCAGCTCTGTGTTCTAAAGAGAAGGAAGAAAAAACATGGAAATGTGCTTAAAGACAACAGTTCTTATCAACATTACTACAGCAACTAGTTTGTCGACATTGAATACTGTTTTTATCAACATTACTATAGCAACTAGTTTGTCGACATTGAATACTGTTTATTCTTCAGTTAGCATACTGAGGTAATAGTTAAGTGTGACGTGATTGTGCACTACATTCAAACAGGGATGCAATTATCAGTTGTTTATTAATCAATCACTACACTACTAATCAGAATTTGCTCGTTTTTCTTTTGGTAGAAAAATATATTTTAGTATCTAAAATGAAACCTTTCTTTGCCTCCCTGTGCCAATAATTGACAAAAATTAAAAACGTAATTAAAAAGTAATTTTTCAACGCTTTAAGAGATCTAACGGTTTAGTGGATAACATCGTATTTCGTATATTTTCTGTGGTCATAATTATTGAGAAATCATAACGACAACTGCTTCTAAAATTATTGTTTCGGTTATGTTACATTGTAACTGCAATTCATTGTTTTTATCGTATAATGTAACAATGTCATCTGTCCGGATAGCAAAGCTAGGTTCAAAAAGGTAGCTGTGAAAGAACTGCCCTAAGTCCATAAACGGAAATAAAACTATTAAACCCTTTCTACCAACTTTTCCCAAAATAGAAAAGCTTATCATTACAAATAGATAGTGCAGTGTTACCTTTAATCTGCTGCATGTTGCCCTGTGAAGAAACAGCAGTGTCCTCCTCATGGACACCGCCATCTTTGATACTGACAAGTACACTTCCGGTGTCGTGCTAAATTCTGTCAGTGCCGTAAACACGCACGCACATAATGGAAGCGCGCACAGATATAAACTCCAAATCACTTTGGATTGGAAAGATTATTCCGGATATGTTTATTCAATGAATTGATGCAAAAAATCATATAGTAATAAATCATAATATTTTATTCAATATGCACAAAATATGCAGAGCAATGTTCAACAATTCATTGCAGGACATAGTCGAAAAAGTGTGGGGAAAAAAGTAATACCTATTTAATCCGGACTCCCTAATGCTCTTTTTGATGAAAACAAAAACAATTTTAAACAAATTAAAGAAAGTATATCATCGTCAACGTCCTGGTTTCCGATTCGATTAATTTAAAGTAACAGGAAGCAGAGTATGTTGTAACACCAAGATGACCTGAGATTTCAAAATAAACCCTGTTATATCCGATATTGCGCATCGTTACAATTGTCATTGGTTTCGACATTAACGTACAAATTTGTCTTCGCAACACGTTTTAATAAATAACTTACACTAATTAAAATTACGTTTTAACATCAATATTTGCATCTGTGTTGCGTTGGTTTTTGCGCACGCGCGGGGACGTTGAACGGAGTTGTTTGAGTTGTCCGTGTACGTGTGCGCGGGTTGAGAGAGGAGTCGCCGTATTCGCTCTGCTTTGAACACACACACATATACATATACACACGCATAGAGACGGAGGAATCACACCACCTGCTGTCCGCCTTCAACGCAGCCGAGGCCCGCATTGCTCACTGATTAAACCCCGCTACCACAATACAAACTGTCACTCGGACATAACAGAACCGCGCTCGTGAGTGCAACCGGACACAAACACAGGAACCATGCCCGAGAGGAGGCCCTTCGTGCGGCTACCGACTGACGTTTATCCCGTCAACTACGAACTATGGCTGAAGCCCGACCTAATCGACTTCACCTTCGAGGGCAGGCTGGAGGCGCTGGTGGAGGTACGGTGTGCAGTTGATGTTCATGAGTCCGCTTATGTAAGAGGAGCAGCTTACATCAACGGCTGATTCTGCTATTTTTTTTAAAACCGGAGTGTCTGATACGGACGTAGCTGTGGTTAGCGGGTGGCTGCTAACCAAACTGGGGTCTCTAATAAACTACAACCAGCCAAACGAAAAGGCAGTGGACGGGGAACGAGTGGTTGTTAGCGTGTGTTAACCTGGTGCTAAGCGCTGTCAGGTCGCTCCACAGCCCCGTAGACAAACTGCAAAGAAGCCCGTCTCCTGCTAGCTTAGCCCCACAGGACTGTACCTGTATTATTGACGTTAGCCTGTGAGCGAAGCGTGGCTTTGCGCGTTAATGTTTTTTAAATGAAGCAAGACATTCTGAAACATAACCCTACTATCACTAAATACCATCAGGTAGCGGATATTTTTAACACTAAAGTCCTTAGTTAGCCGCTAGCAAGAGCTCGCTAATGTTTGCAAAATCATGGCAACACCATGTCGCTCCCTCCCACCGTCATTCATTTCAGCCTGGGCTTATACTCAGCTGTCAGTTTATTAGAAACACCGTGCAACCCACCTAACGACAAAAATAACAGTAATAATCAATAATGTTTGGGACTTAAAATTGAAACCATTGAATATGTTAATGTAAACAACACTTAAACATGAAGTCTGGTTTATTAGTACGTTTTAAAGGTGTCCTTTAACAGTCCTGGGTTCATTTGCATGATGGCTCAGTATCTGCAGAGTCTAAGTTAACGATAAACTCTTCTTTAAACATCCGCAGAAAACACTCATGTAACTTTAGGGCTGTGCGGATCAGGTTGCTTTTGTTATTTTTTTTGGCTAGAGAGGGGGAGAGAATTTAATAAATTATTTAAATTAAAGGCCAAGTACAGTTAGAATGAGGCATTCAAGGCATAACCTTTAATGTAAAGTAAGAGGCTGCTTTATTTTTTTTATTTTATTTTTTTTACGTTTCAGCATTGTACCCATCAGATGAACAGATACATTCATGTATCGTGTATTCACCTCTGAAACTCTAAACTCATTGAAACGGGTTTCTCTTTGGTTGGGTGCACTGTAGCCTGAGCTGTGGTGTAACGCTATCAGAGACAGACTGAAGAGTCATTTGAATGTCAGACTCTTTTCATCCCATTTCCTCTTGATGAAGCTAAATATGGAACATTGCACTTTCTTAGTTGCCTAAACAACATGCTGTATTCACAGTAAAGACTATTCTATTCTATAACCGTGCACTATCACTTCAGCGGAATTGCAACTAGTGCGTGCCATAAATCAGCTGACATTTAGGAGCCATAATGGTACAGTAAAGAGAGCTGCCTGGAGGTGTGTGAGGAAACACTGACAGTTCTAAACACTACAGAGCAACAGCATAACTTGTCAGCCATACCCACAAAAAAAATATTAACAATCAATCGAACAATTAGTTAAATGTGAGTCTTGCAGATTAAAAGATTATCTCGACTGCTGCATTGCATGGTGATTGTAGTGTGATACTAAATTGTGCAGTTGCACTAGAAAGAGGAAAAAGTTAGTCTTGAGCTCACGAGTTGTTGTCTGACATTTCTAAATACAGTCTTCTGTTGTCACGAGTTGAATATTGACTTCTTTAGTGTGAGAATTGAATGGAAACAGTGGATGTGACAGAATCATTCTTTCTCTGAAATGAAGGGTTTTTTAAATGTTGCCTTGAAGAGATTATCTGAGTCTAATGGTGTCAACGTTTGCAGGTTACACAAGCCACAAACCAGATTGTGATGAATTGCGCTGACATGGACATCATCAAGGCTTCCTTTTTACCTGAGGGAGGAGAAGGTAAGGGCAACACTTTGTGTTTTTATTTTTTTTTAAATAAACTTAACATTTTCCGACGTAAAATTTTACAAACTTGACTGTTTATATATACTCTTTCTCTTGTAGGGATCAATGCTACGGGGTTCAATTATCAGAACGAGGATGAAAAAGTCACTCTGTGCTTTCCTAAATCTTTACAGAATGGTAAGAAGGGAATGGAACCCTCACTCTGAGGATGGACACACAGTCATGATGTGCTGGGGTTGTAGTCGAGGGCTGTTGTACATTTATGAGTTATTTAACTTTTTTTTCTACACCAAACCTTTACCGTTAACAATTAGTTACAAACAGTATGCGGAGAACAAAAAGCTATCGATGATGTTCTCCTCACACACACAAAAAAAACCCCTGCGAGGACACAATTCATCTTTGTTCCCGTCTCCTCAGGCTCCGGTACGTTGAAGGTGGACTTTGTCGGGGAGCTAAACGACAAAATGAAAGGATTCTACAGAAGTAAATACACGACATCTGCTGGAGACATCCGTTATGCTGCCGTCACACAGTTTGAGGTGGGTTCATGGCTCCGGCACGAACATATTTCCATCTCTACCGTTAGAGTCGTTATTGCAAGGAGAAAGTGATATGAGGATTTTTGGAATTCGGGAACCGATTGGATCGGTGGGACTAAGTTGACCCCAGACCGAACCCTGCTCGACGTCCTACTTAGAAGAATAAAAGGACAAATGTCTTTTGTCTGTAAATGTTGGACCCTCGACAGAAAAACTGATGAGGAAGACAAGGCTCGTTTGTGTTTTTGTTTTGTGTTTTCCTGCAGGGAAACCTGGTGCATTTTGATAAGATAATTATGGGTGGTTCAAACACAAGATCGAGCTGTCCCACTTGTGATCCTTCAAACACAAGATCGAGCTGTCCCACTCTCATTTTTGAAGAATTGACCACCAGCAAAGTCTGCTTTTTTATTATATCTCATCGTAGTCAAAATCATGCACCTGTATGAAGATCAGAATGAACCACTGAGAGACAAAGAGAGCACAGCAGATGTACCAGCGTTAGAGACTTCACTCTTTGGGTTTACACACAGTTCAGGTCACGGTGGTGAGGTGACAGACTGTCCGAGGACCTGCCACGAAAACATGCAAAGTTGACACAGGTGTTGGTTTCTGTTTGATTATCCCTGACACGCAACCACAGAAGAAAAGCAAAAAAATATGTGGAATAAATGTGAAATGTGAAGAGTGGGTCATGGTAAAAATAGAATTGCTTTTTTTCAGCCAGCTGTCTGTGTGGTCACTGGACTTTGCTGCTGCTGCTGCTGCTGCTGCTGCTGTTGTTGTTGTCTTTGCTGGTTCCTGAGCGGTCTTCACAGACTTTGCAGTGTTAAACCAGCTTGATATTTATATTAAGTGCAGAATGTGTAAAATTAGCAGTAAATAATGTCGGTGGTTTAAACTGTCTGGGGTGTTTGAACAGTTTTCATAGTTTACATTTGACATTATTCAAAGGCAGCATGTCTTTGGGGGGCAGGGGGGCACTGGAACTTGGCTATCCTACACCTGGAGGGTTGTGGGTTCAGTTCCAGGCATCCTGGTTGACATTGGGTAGATGACAAAACCTGCAGTGTAAAGCACTTTGAGTGGTCAGCGGGATTAGTAAAGCCACCATTTTCCCGTTTTCTGGGGTCTTTAGGAAGATAATTTTAATTCCAATTCAAAACTGTAAAGTTCATTGAGACAAATGTGTTTTGTAAATTTAGGCTATACAAATAACACTGAACATTTTGAATTTCAACATTAACTCTATCTAATGTAATGTAACTTGTTGTTCTAGTTTCGAAAAAAAAGGTATTTTATGAAGGAGTCTGGGTTGAACACATCAGACTAACTTTGTGTGTTTATTCTCTCTCCCTGTTTCACTCACTCACCTGTCAACTCCTCTCTCTTCTCTTCACTTCTCCAGGCCACGGATGCTCGCAGAGCCTTCCCCTGCTGGGACGAGCCTGCGATCAAAGCCACCTTTGACATCACTCTAATTGTTCCCAAGGACAGAGTGGCTCTGTCTAATATGGTGAGTTTTTCTGAGAAGGTGAATCATATCAGAAAACAACACCATCTGGTTGGTTCTGTTTTTTAATTGTTCTGCCCCGGGGCTAACACAGCTCAGATGTGAGGTGGTGATGATGAAGATAAATACCAGTCTGATGGTTCATGACACAGGAAAATAAAAAATAAACCTAGCTCCCCCCGCCCCCAGAAAAAAGAGTCCATTGTGTGGTATAAAGTTTTAGCCATCTTCCTAAATCCTGACCTTTTCAACACAATTGTGCTTATGTAAAACAATTAACCCAGGATTATAAACAAGTAGGTCCATTAGAAACCCATCGCAATAATCCAGTGGCAGACCATCATGACTAATGGCTTTTTCCTGGGCTGATGATGGACCAGAGTAACTGCTGATAACCATTTCCTCATCAGGAATGCACGCTGTGACCTTTTTAGAGTCCAGAGAGCGCAGCATTTACCCGGAGCAGCAGTTGTGTTCGAGGGCCAGCTGTACAGTGTTCTGGTAATGTGGTAACTATGGGAACGTGCAGTCGTTGATATAGATGTTACGCGCGGCTCGCACGACAATCAGTCTGTGTGTTGTTTCACCCACAACAACAGACCGTCTTCACTCGGATTTACCGCCACAAGTCCTGTCGTCAGTCGGTGACCTTCTCGGTCAGATGTCGCATTTGTGAGAAGTGAATGCATTGATTGTGTGAACGTCACAGCGTTGGCTTCACGGTGTCATTGTCTACGTTTACGTCCGTTCACAGGAATGTATATTTTTTTCCTCCGCAGAATGTCATTTCTCGAAATCCATATCCCGAAGACCCCAACCTGGTGGAAGTGAAGTTTGCCACCACGCCCATCATGTCCACCTACCTAGTTGCTTTTGTCATTGGTGAATATGATTTTGTGGAGGGCCAATCATCAGACGGTATAACCGTACGGGTCTACACACCAGTGGGGAAGGCAGAACAAGGGAAGTTTGCACTGGAGGTGAGTTCGCCGCCAAAGGTTACGTCTGACAGTAATGTATGTTCATGTATGTCCAGTGTGATACTACTAATAAAATAGAAATAATAATAAGACTTCTTTTACAGGTTGCAACCAAGACGTTACCTTTCTACAAAGATTACTTCAATGTTCCTTATCCGTTGCCCAAGATTGATCTCATTGCTATCGCTGATTTTGCTGCTGGTGAGTTGAACTGAACAGACCTTTCAGTCACTGATTGAAATATGATATATTTGTAAGACAAATTAAAACTCATTAATTCTTCTTTTTCCGACAGGTGCCATGGAAAACTGGGGTCTCGTTACCTACAGGTAATGTTTTTTTAAACCATTAAATTGATCTTCTCTTTGGTTTCATTATTTCTGACCATCTGTGCTTCATTTATTTTTTTATGTTTTTATTGTTGTCATAAACATATTTTCAGAATGCATCATTACTGGGCAGGGATACCAACATCCAATAAAACAGCCCCAGTCGATCTGTTCCGTTACCAGTATTGATTAAACTAATGTCCGTACTTTGCCTGTGAAAAACTGAGAAAAACTCAGTCATTTAACAGGATTCCAGACCTCAGTTACTAATGTCTATTTAATAGCTGGTCGCTAAGTCAGACACACTGCCACCTGTCAGGTGATCACCAGCGGCAGCAGGCTGAGTTTGTCTTCCGCCCTCGACCAGATGCTCCCTGGTTTCACTTAATGACCTCTGGAAGTGTGACGGAGGGAAACATGATGACACTTCAAAAATACATTTCTTTCTCTTTGTTTTTCCTTCCAGGGAGACGGCGCTTCTCATCGACCCCAAAAACTCCTGCTCATCATCCAAGCAGTGGGTGGCGCTGGTCGTCGGACACGAGCTGGCTCACCAGTGGTTTGGCAACTTGGTCACCATGGTAATCAGCCAACGATCCGTTCATTACAAAATAAACCAGGTTGATAAAAAAAAACATATTTAAAACTCGTGTGCACGTTCAAAGGAATGGTGGACCCACCTGTGGCTCAACGAAGGGTTCGCGTCCTGGATCGAGTACCTGTGTGTGGATCACTGTTTCCCGGAGTACGACATCTGGACTCAGTTTGTCTCTGCCGATTACACCCGCGCTCTGGACCTGGACGCACTGGACAGCAGCCATCCCATAGAGGTGACTGCGCCAAAGGATTTTCATACGTATTACAGGAAGCTGCTGCCTGTAAATGTGTCTGCGTTAGTTGATATGATAGATAAAATACATTCATTTGATTTCATTCAATTTAATTTTGTGGATGTTTTCATTTTGTTCTCCAGGTAAACGTGGGCCACCCATCAGAGGTGGACGAGATCTTTGACGCCATCTCCTACAGCAAAGGAGCTTCTGTGATCCGCATGTTGCACAACTACATAGGAGATGAGGTCGGTCGTCTCACACCCGCCGTCTGATGTTTTGTTTTTTTTCCCTTTTTCTAGAACCTTGTCCATAAACCTTTTGCGTGTTTCTTCTGCTTTTGTAGGACTTCAGGAAAGGAATGAACATGTATCTACTGAAGTTCCAACATAAAAATGCATCGACAGGTAGGAGCACGCAGGCAGTGGCGTTACCCGCTGATGAAGCGGTTGTGTTTGTGTATTTCCTCTGACTTCCGGATGCCCCCTACAGAGGACTTGTGGGACTGTCTGGAACAGGCCAGTGGGAAGCCCATCGCTGCAGTGATGAGCTCATGGACCAAGCAGATGGGTTTTCCCATCATTGAAGTGGAGGAGGAGCAGGTGAGCCCAGATCATCCAAGCTGTGTTCCACCATTTTGTGTTTTTTTTTTATACACAGTCTACAGACACTTACATTTATTAATTGTTACCCAAAGCAACTCACAAGAGGAAAACACTGAGATGGACCGGTGTTGATGTTTATAATTTTGTGGCTTTTGAAAAGCCAAGGTCTGACCCACGGTGTTGTGTAATGTTTGTGTTAACAACACGAGTTGTCAACATTTATGTGTTTATTTTGCTCTGCTGTAATTCAGCATCTTACACACACTAACCCCGGTGTTATTTACAGCAAGGTGACGACCGCATACTTAAATTATCTCAGAAGAAGTTCTGTGCCAGTGGACCACACAGTGGTGAGTCTGTTCTATCTCAGGACGTCCAACAGCAGCAAACAAGCAAAGGGCTTTGAGCTTTTTATATAAGTGAACGTCGCCTCGTGGTTTGCTGAAGTGCTTCTCTCTTCTATCTGTGCCTGGTCTGTGGGACAGGTGAGGAATGTCCCAGCTGGATGGTACCGATCAGCATTTGCACCAGTGAGGACCCTGCCTGCTCCAAAATGAAGGTTCTGCTGGATAGACCGGAGATGACCGTCACTGTGAACGACGTCTCTGCAGATCAGTGGATCAAGGTGAGGCAGCAGCTGAAGACGGCGTTCACCTGAACCTGTTTGAACCTGTGGATCTTTATGTCTCATGATAAACAGGTCACACACACACACACAAAATTATTAAACGTTTAACGAAGGAGCTAGGGTATTGTGGTGAACCGATGATCTGCCAAAAATGAGTCAAAATGGCGCTGATCCATTAAGATTGAATTGACATCGGGATTAAAACACTGCTTCCTGATTTATTACTTTTCATAATCATTAAAGCGTTAGGAATAAAAATATTTTCACCTGCACGAACAGGACACTTTTCAGGAGGCGGGGGAAAAAACGTTCAGTATAAGCGTTGTACTACAGTACAATCTGATATTTTTTAAATAGAAAAATAAACGTTTTTAATGCAATTAAATTTAAATTTTGAAAACAAAAATGAAACCATGGCCAAACGACGTCAATCTCTTTTCTTTTAATTCCTTCTTTAACTTTACAAACCGTCTTCTGCCTCTTCATTATTTCTCTCTGTTTCTTGAACAAACTTGTTTGAAGTGTCATGGGAAAAACTCGTAAATTAACAGAGCTGCCAGATATTCTTGCGCTTGAATAAAATCCACACCTCAGGTGTCATGGTGAAAAAACAAGGGTAGTGATAATGGATTGTGATTTTTTTTTTTTTATATATATATTTTATTGCTCCACAGCTGATAAAAATCTATAAATATCGCCCCTCAGTTAACACTTGTGCTCCCTTCTTTAAGAGGTGAAGATTCCAAACGCTCTCAGGTTTTTAACTATGGATGTAAAGAGCAGCTGTTTATGGGCAAGGATGGCATGAGTCACGAAAAAAAAAAATACAATAGTCACCATTCACACAATAGTCACCATTCATATTTAAAAAATAATCCAATCTGAGCAGCAGGTCAAAGGTGATGACGTACAGCAGAACCAGAGCTGCTGTGGTTCTGTTGTGCTGCGCTCCACTTGTGAAAACTGCACATCCAAACACTAACGCTGTCGTTTCTGACATGTAAATTAATAACACTAATGGAGAATTAAACAACTGCACACTTAGTCAAAAAATTTTTTTTTTTTTTGATATTTAATGGGGCCTGTTCATTTAGTCAAAAAAAAAATTTTTTTTTGATATTTAATGGGGCCTGTTGTCACGAGTTTTCATTCCAGTCAGAATAAACAGCCACCGTTGATGAAGCTGTCCGTCACAAACGCAGCGTCACGTGACTTGTGTCTCTGCTGTTCACAGATCAACCCCGGCACTGTGGGCTTCTACCGCATTCAGTACAGTTCATCCATGCTGGAGAGTTTGATGCCCGGCATCAGAGACCTCACGCTGCAGCCCGTGGACCGACTGGGCCTGCAGAATGACCTCTTCTCCCTGGTGAGTCACGAACACACACACACACAAAACCAAGTGCTTGTCAGTACTAGTCACCCGTACTATTGAGAAACAGTTAATGATGGGGCTGGTTAATAATCACATGTCTATTAATGATTAATATTAAATGGAAAACACAAGTACGTTTCTCCTAGTTGTCGTTCATTTACGATAGGCATTAATTTACGCACATGTTGGGTTAGTTATGTCCGGCGCATTAGTTTACGCACATGTTGGGTTAGTTATGTCAGTGAGATAAGGAAGGACTGATTGTGTGCGGCTCTCAAGGACAAGAAATGAGCAGCAGCAGCAAAGGTGAGAGAATAAAGAGGAATAACTATAAACACAAGAAAGGACAGAGTGAAAGAACCAACAAATGGTTCTCAACAGTGATCAAATGACATTCTCAACAAACGCGCTTCACATCATGGATGTAACCGAGTGACGACGGATGTCTTTTCTCCCAGTCTCGTGCAGGGATGATCAGCACCGTGGAGGTTCTGAAGCTGATGGAGGCCTTTGTCAATGAACCAAACTACACAGTGTGGAGTGACCTCAGCTGCAACCTGGGAGTGTTGTCCTCGCTCCTGTCCCACACGGACTTCCACGAGGAGATCCAGGAATTCATCCGAGACCTCTTCACCCCCATCGGTCTGAAGCTCGGCTGGGACAACAAACCAGGAGAAGGTGAGAAAAACAAGCTCCCCCAAAAAATGAACGCCAAGGTTGAAAAGATTAAAAGTGGAATAACTGGAGTGTGCTGTCCTATTCCCGTCCTGCAGGTCACCTGGACGTTCTGTTGAGAAGTCTGGTCCTCGGAAAACTGGGGAAGGCAGGACACAAACCCACGCTGGAGGAGGCCAGGCGGAGGTTCAAGGACCACGTTGAGGGAAAACAGACCCTGCCTGCAGACCTCAGGAGCCCGGTAGTCAACCTTTGTTAAACTTAAAAATAGTTAACGTTTCTGAGTTTTGAGAATTTTAACTGTCCCGAAACTGAAAAAAAAACCTTCTTTAAGTAAATCATCTGTGAGCTTGAGGTCCAGTTTCTGAGTTTTGAGACTTTAAACTGAAAAAAAAAACCTTCTTAAAGTAAATCATCTGTGAGCTTGAGGTCCCTTTCAAAGACTAGTTGCTTTATACAATCCTGAATTAAAAAAAAAAATTAACATTTTGAAGTTAGAGGGGAGGTTTGCAGTTTAAACCCTGAGATTTATATTCCAAATGTCTGATGTATTCATGGCGTCAGTTCTTCTTGTCTTGTCCCTGTGGTTGTAACTTTTTGTTAGTCAAGATCAGTGTGAAGAGGTGTGTGTCTGACTCAGCGTCGCTGTGTTTTCTTTTTTTTTTATCAGGTTTATTTGACTGTGTTGAAACACGGAGACAGCGTGACTCTGGAGACGATGCTGAAGGTAACAGTGGCTTCACAACTTCATCCGTCTGCTGAGGAATCCTCATTCAGACCCTCACTCTTTTCCTCTGTTCCTCTCAGCTTCACAAACAGGCGGACATGCAGGAGGAGAAGAATCGGATCGAGCGAGTGCTCGGCGCCATCTCAGCACCGGACCTCATTCAGAAAGTTCTCAGCTTTTCCCTCTCAGTACGTATGACTTCACTTTTACTTCCACATTTAAACATTTGACGTTGTAGATCAAGGTAGTGGGGTGGGGTCGGGGAGGTGAGGGGGGAGGAGAGGGAGGGGGAGGCAGTGTTGTTGACAGCGCTGGACTAACTCAAAGGTCATTTAGTGTGAAGTTCTATTTTAGACTTGTTGGTTGAAAAGAGAGATAAAAACTTTTATCAGTCGTTCATTCTTCTTTACTCCCAGCTGTGGTTGTAAACCTGTTACAGACTGAGGTTTGGAATTTACTGTTGAAACAGGGTTTATTAGGAACCTTTAAGAGCTGCGTTGATGCTCAGTCATTGTTTGGGAAAAAGAAAACGGGTTTTCACACAACAAGTTCAGTTTATATTTTATTTAAATTAGTCCGGATTATCTGTTAAATAATCTATTTTAGGATGTAAAGAGGAAACGCAACACTGTAGGGCTGTCAGTCTATAATAATAATCTGATTAATCACGAGGTAAGAGTGAGCGATAATTAATTGGTTTAAAACAACATTCCTCAGTAAAAAAAAACGTTTTTTCCAGTTGTTTTAGATCTGTTGTTATTTATGATATTGATTTGGAAAAATGTCACAAAAAATATGCAAATGTGGGTCTGAACGGAATTAAACATGTGGAACATTTCCGTGGAAAAAATGACACACATTAAACTGACATTATTACAACACATGTTGGTCCAATTCTCAACTGAGACTAATCCATGAGGTGTTTTTAAATGTTGTGATGTTGAGATACAAACAAGGACGACGTGTGAAGACTGTTCTCTGCTGCAGCCTCATTTGAAAAAAAAAAAATCATGTTGTCTTAAAACAGCTTCTTCACAATTTCATTTTTCTTTGCCGTGATTCTCCCACTCTCCCAAACAGGAAGAGGTTCGTCCTCAGGACACGGTCTCAGTAATTGGGGGCGTGGCTGGCAGCAGTAAACAAGGACGGAAGGCTGCGTGGAAGTTTGTCAAGGAAAACTGGGAGCAACTTTTCAGCCGTTACCAAGGCGGCTTCCTCATATCACGGCTGGTTAAGGTAGACCGATGTTTGTTGGGTTGGGTTGACCGCCAGGTTGCAAGATGAAAATCTCAGTTTTCTGTTTTGATTTTTTTTTTCGCCCTTTGACATATTTTCTTTGTATTCACAGCTCACAGTCGACGGGTTTGCTATTGACAAGATGGCAGCTGAAGTGAAGGTGAGACGCTTAAACGTTTAGACTTGTTGTACAGTATTTTACACAAGAATGGTAGTTTGCCATAACTCAAAATCTAACCACTAGAGGGCAACATGATCCTGCCAACATTTAAATTCCATGACCACTGCTGGACCTATTGCTAATTGCAATTAGAAATTAGATTTAGATTCAGATTAGAGACATTTTCATTTGCTTTTTTTGTGCATGGTGGTTTGAATTAGAACTTAAATGTGACTGACATCAAACTCCAGTGTCTGGGAAGTTAACAACATACATTTACTGAGTAAATGCCCAAGATTGGCATTTGTGTGGTTTGTGTGTCATGTCTGTTCAGACTGAGGTAGCTGTGAAGAACCCCAGATATGTACAGATTTAGGACCACATATAAAACTGGACTCAATCTGTATTTGTGTTTCGTGTCTTCAGACTGTCATAAAAAAATCAGGTTGGTTTACATGTGGGCATAAAAGTTGGATTTGGGCCACATTTGCCTGCAGCCTGAAGGCCGTCTTTAAACAGGACTCAGTCTGTCACTCGATGATGATAAAGTCAGATCATGACTCGGCTCTGATTCTAACATCCGTCTCCCCATCTGTCCCTGCAGAGCTTCTTCGAGAGTCACCCGGCGCCGTCGGCCGAGCGCACGGTGCAGCAGTGCTGCGAGAACATCCTCCTAAACGCCGCTTGGTTAAAGCGCGACGCGGACGACATCCAACAGTATCTACTGCGGCGCAAAGCTCCCCCTGTCTGAGCCTGCCTCTTCCCGCCGCTGCTACCTGCCCCGCCTTCTCTCCCTTCAGCCTCCGCCCCTCTCCTCCTGCAGAGGACCTCCAAGGATCATAGCTGCCTCAGCTCCTACAGCCTACCCACCTTCCTTGGCCCTACACTACAGTGCGAAGCAGGGTAGAGCAGCAGTGCGCGCTTCACAGCCGCCTTCGTTTCTATATGTAAAGACTGTATCAAAAAAAAAAATGAAGACAAAGCCAAGAATTTAACAATGTTGGAAACACACAGACTCTTTATATGTCAACAAACACACTCCCATTTCAATTCCACCAGTTTCTATTCATCTTTATTTTTATTTTTTTTCCTTTTAATCCCCATTCTGTCCACGGGTGGCGCCGTTAAAAAGGCACTTGGCAAAGTGACACACTGTGTTCACAGTTTATGTCCCGGGCCTGTATGCACACACACCTCACCCACGTCTGCGTCATAGCTGAGAAAACTGTGAATCTTCCTCTTCCTCACCTTAAATTCATTCAATCTGTCTCTCTGTGTAGGTTTGCTGCTTTATTTACCTTGTTATTTTTGTCTCTCTGCGTGGTTCTCTATCTCTTCTAACTCCCCTCAACACTCACCCACCTCTTCTTCCAGACGCTGTGATTGGGTGAGAGCAGATCTCACCTGGGCAGAATGGGGTTAAAACAACGACGACGACGTACAGTGTGTGTCCAACAGCATCCTTAATAAACATTTTAGGGCGAGACGAGCAGCACTAGCATGGTACTACATTGTTAATTGTATAATGCAAGCTTTTATTTTGAGAGTGATGGGAATAAATAATATTAATAAACCCCGCCCACCCCTCCAATCATGTAAGAGTGAGTATAATTTGAATGGAGTATATTTAATTGTGGTTTCTTTAACGGCCTCAGTCAGTCGAATCAAGTCAATGCCTTAATACAGTACATCAGAACAGTGGTGTGTATATATATATATAAATATATATATATATATATATATATATATATATATATAATTGTTGACCTAATCTGGACGATCTGGAGTAACTCCTGGAAACAAAAATAACAAAGCATCTCAGTGCAGCTGGTTGTCCTGTCGACTGTTGATGGTAGTGGTTAATCTGTCTTCTCTCTACCATCCTGGCTTATATCTGCTGTAGCTGATCCAGACATGTTTTTTCATCATATCATAGTCCAAACTTTTACTGCTAAAGTTTGTAGTGGATGTTTTACTTCATTCATTTCTATGTTGAAAACCACAATTGTTGTTTATTAATGTACAAAGAAAGTATAAAAACAAAGCTACAAATAATTCATCATTTCCTTTTTTTTGACTGAAATGTGAATGACAGTATCTGGAGATGTTTGTTTCCAATCTTACACCATCACAGGATTTACAATCAGATAGAGCAGAGAAATGAATAGTCACCACTTTCTGGTTTTGTTATTTTTGTCACCAGTCTGAAAAAAAAAAAACACGGAGGCAGGATTGGGCTCTGGGTTTGTTGTGTGGACTTTTTCATGTCACTTTTTTTCTTTCTAATGTTGGTTCATTATGTGGAATGTCTGTGTTCTGAATTGAAGATAAGAATTTTAAACTTGACCGGTGTAATAAACTCTGATGCAGAATCTGTCAGTGCGAGACATTTATTACTGTATGAGCACTGTCAACATGGAGCTGATGAGGTTCAGTGAGGACTAAACCTGAAAGGCAAACAGTATCATCTGAAACGTTCCAACTTAAGTGAGTCTGATGTCGAAGACAAAGTTGATTTGTTTCTACTTGTACATTTTAAGATAATAGAGAATAAATTTGAGAAAAGTTGAAATTAGTGTTGCGCTTTCAATTACAAAAGAAAATGCTTCATGTATTTTAACATTATGAAGACATGGATAGAAAATTATAATACTGCAATAAAAATTAGATTACATGTGGGAGTCATTTAGATTTGGTTTGTTGCACCATTAGACACTTTTGGCCTGGTGTAGAAAGGCTGAATAGAGAAGCTCTTTCAAGCTCCAAGAAGAAATCCAGTTGCTTACAACTAAACTCTGTGGATGGCTGAATAAATAACGCTTTTAATTTCAGAAATGTATTAACAAAATGAACAATGTCAGAGTGTTTCGAAATAATTTTCATCATTCAGACTGTATGCAATCATTGTATCGAATTGTCGTAATAAATTGCTTTAAAAGAATAAAAGCCATTGGAATATGGTACGAGTAGGTACTCGCTGTGACCACCAGGCGTATCAGTGAGCTGCATGTAGATACTTAATCGAAAAATAAAACCAGCGAAGGAAAATGCAGCTTAACTAGTTTGGGGCAGGTTGCTGAGGTTTCTATTACATCAAGATGCCGTTCAAAGAATAAAAACTGTGAAAAAGGCGAGCTTTTCATCCACACTTCCTTATTTACAAACTCGGTCATTTATTGTGCGGTTTCACGTGGATTTGACGACAATAGCTTAAGTTAGTAGCGACGTTTGAATATCAAATGCTAGCTAAGGAGCTAGTTAGCACTTAGCTAAAGATTTCACTCATAATAACAGTGAGTAAACTTAAATTTTTTTTAACTCAACATTTTGTCAGAGGTCGTAGAGAATGTATATATATGTTTAAATTGTTTGTTTAATGGCCGCTTGTTTCTGTTGTATTAGCATTCGTTTGACGCTTAGAAAACAGAGTTCTGGTTTGAGCTGTTGCTAAAAACAGACGAAGTTCTATTTTTAAATAAGTAAGTTTATCTCACCGAGGTAAATCCTAAAGGACCGTGCGGTTAACATGCACGCAGGTTATCAGACGCGGAAGGCAGTTTAGAGTTTCGCCGTTCAGACTGAGTATGTTGGAGTCGAAGACAAGATTCACCTGTGGAACTGATGCTGTCAATTTTGTCGCTCAACACAGCAGCCATTTTGGCAGTTTCAGGTGTAATAATATAGCTAGATTCTATTTAGATAGATTATGGACATGATATCTTGATTATATTATATAAATATTTGAATCAAAACACTAGTTTATACGTTCCTCCAATTTTGAGTTGTTTTACTTTTTTTATCGTAAGAACCTCTTGCTGCAACCTTTCTGCTTATTTTGCCGATTCAATAATGTTATTTTTTCAAACATTACCTAAATTCGTTTTACGTGCACGATTAATGACATTTGTCACAATCAACATGTCGACCTATGACATATATGATCCTTTTAAATGTGTTGGAAAATTTAAAAAATAAAAGAAACGAAAAGAAGGTTTGCAGAATGTAACCTAGGAAATATACCCAAAAATAGAGGACATAAAATGAGTAACGAAATGAAGAGGGCGGCGTCACAATATACCCTTTCAACCTTGAATTTAAACATTCCACTTGAGTTTCAAACATATTTGTACTTCAAATATATATATAGACAACCCTGTGAAGTTTTTACCTGTAACTTGTCTTTTTCCATCAGGCTGTCTGGTCTCACCCAGGTGGGTAGTGACTGACAGATGCCTTCATCATGATCCTCAGTATCCTGGTTATCATCACTCTTCTGGTGTCCCAGGCCAGAAGCTTCCTGAGCCCCACAGAGGTCGACATTGTTCCCGAGGAGTGGGTTCTCCTCCACGTAGTTCAGGGTCACATCGGAGCAGGAAACTACAGCTACCTGCGTCTCAACCACGATGGCAGAATCATTCTGCAGATGCAAAGCCTCAAGGGAGACGCCGACCTCTACGTGTCGGACAAAACCCTGCAGCCAAGTTTCGACACCTACAAGCTGCAATCGACCACCTGCGGCCAGGATGTGGTGGTGGTGCCTGTGGACTTTGTGAGGCCCGTGGGCATCGGCATATATGGCCACCCGTCATATCTGGAGAGTGAGTTTGAGATGCGGGTGTTTTACGATCAAGCTGTTCCCCAGAACCTATTTGATAGAGGGTCGGACACAGAACATGAGAAAAAGTATTCTTCTCGGGCAGCGGAGGAGAAGGATGAATCCATCTTGGGGCAAATTCTGATTGGAATTGTGGAGCTCGTGCTGGAGTGTTTGTTTAGTTTAATCTAGTTTGTGTTTAAGTTTAATTTCAATGATAAAACCATGTGTCTTAAAGCTGTGCAGCAGCCACACGAGCTGTGTGGGTCTAAACATCTGAAACATAAGCAATATAAGGTGTCACAACCAGAACTATCTCTCTGCTGTCAGTTGCTGTATTTTGGTTCTGGATGGAAATCTCAGTTAACGTCAACATTATCAGTGATTGGTTTGGTGACATTTGTCTGTTGGACAAGCTCCTGTTTTAAACACCTCCTCCTGTCTTCTGAGGAGTTAAAAGTTGAGCAGAAATGTTCAACAGTGCCTTCAGATGCTTCCTCTGCAGAGGGGAGAGCTCAACCGTTTCCTCTCCACTGATGATAGTCTGGTTGTCAAAATAAAACTGGTTTTTCACATTGTTCAGTCTTGTCTGTTTTCAGAATTGAAGAGAAACATTGTTTATTACAACAGTAGGTTTTTAAAATGGGCACAAATAATGAAGCTTAAAATTTTGCATACGCAGTGGATAAATGTTACAAATGGAGGGTTTTTTTTTTGCTGGTCACAACTTTTTGTGTAAAGGTCTCATCGGGATAAAATTTTTTGTGTAAAGGTCTCATCGGGATAAGAGGAGGCTGACATTGTTTACCATTTTCTCTGTAAACATCAGACAAATGGTTGAATTGGAAAACCAGGAGAGTAAACCAGAGAAGTCTGTTCAAATTATCCAGTGACTTGAGGACCAAGTTTGGGGGAATGATTCTCCTAGTTAGCTTCAGCCTTTTTTTGCTAAAATTATTTATTCTTTAGTCTTTTTCATGGTAGATTCTTGCTTTGCTGATGTAAAATAACTTAATAAATAACAGCATCTTGGGCTCCAGTACACCAATAACCTTCATTTAACCACATTTCAAAAACACTGAACATGTGTTGAGATTGATAGCACAGAATTTAATCAATACTTCAGTCACTTTTTATTTTTACAATGATCCGATTGATCGGAACTGAAGAAACCCGCGGTGTTTACATATTTATGACAAGTCCTTACGAATATGCCCCATTGTCTGTGTGTGGAATAACGCAGAGTTCATTATCCTTCCAGTGCGGGCGCCAGCTCGATGCTGTTGATTCTCAGCACCGTCTGTGGCTGGATGACGAACCTCTTACGCTCAAACCGTTTTCTCCTCCAGAATCGCATCACGACTTTTGGACACGATTCGGTCTTTTCCAGCACCGTGGCCTCCACTCGGACTAGTTCTTTTCCCAACAGTGGCCTGCCGATCAACGTGAAGTCATCTGCGCCGGCCAGAAGGACCTTCTCCAACCGGATCCGGTCCCCACATTCTGCGTTGATGTAGTTCTCCACGATGATCAGATCCTCAACGGTGACCTTCCATTGATGTCCGGCGAAGAAGACCACGGCAAATAGTCGTCCGAAATCCTGCCCCTGGATCAACTGGTTGACGGTGCTCACGACGGCAGCGTGTCGGCGCTTCTCCTCCTCGAGCTCCTCAGGGAGCAGTGGCCTCAACTGCGGCCAGGGCGGACTGGACAGTGAGGTCTGGGGAAGCACCTGCCTGCTAACAGAGCACCGGGATCGGACAGCAGTGAGAAAGAGTGGGCTCTGAGATGACAGCAAACTGCACGTCCTCCACAGTCCTCTGAGAGCCGCCATTTTTAGCGGAAGTACCAGGCAGCTTTCTTCTTCTTTTGAGTTTAGTGGCAGCCGTCATCAACTCTTTACGCCTTTCTGCCATCTATTGGTGGTTATTGTGTTATTGTAGGATATGAAGGGAAAAAACCGCCAAAACACCTACAAAATGATCAAGTTTGAATATAATTTTGCTCCTCACTCTTCAAAATGACAAAAGAATATTTTTGTAACTTACGTTTGCTCTATCTCACTTTCCCAAACTTTCTAAACAAGGGTTGATGCCAACCCACCAGGATCCGGTTTATAACTTAAATGAACCACAAATTAGGCTTATGCTAGTAATAAAATAATAAAAATAATAAAAACGAACGCATTCCTTAAACGATGAGTTTAACTTTTATTACAATATTGCTTGTCTGTAGACTGCAGACTCGGAACATTCCTTCGATATCAATGTGGCTCACGCTCTACACCTGCTCTCCAATACCTTGTCTTTAAATCTAAAAATGTTTTTATATTTCACTTCCCAAAACCAGTCTCTTCCCAGGATAAGGTAAGCTAAGGTAACCCTGCAGAATTTAATGTATGCCAATTATTTGTCATTACGAAATTACAATTATACGTGCTGATGGTTGCCACCCTAGAAAAAAACGTAGCACTATTCATGTCTTGTTAGTCAATGATAAATTTAAGTTATTGCAATGTTTTTTGTCTTAATTATTAATGCAAAACCTCAACCTTAGTTAAGAGAACTTCGTGTGTTATTCTTTTAACCAAAACGTATTTTCCAAATAGCCCATCATAATCACCATCAATTAATTGACTATTTAGAACTTAGCGATTGCCTACATTGCGACACGGCATGCCATCATTGGAATTTCCTGCTGCACCTGAATGCGGCGCTACTCAGCCTCCATTTTGTGTCATTCGGCTGTTTCCGTGTTTCCGATTAGAGGCCGACAAAACTGTGTCAGCAGGGAGTATGGCTCTGCTCGCAGGTCAGGAGTGCGGCTATTTTTTTTACTCTAGACTTCGCTCCTAAAGACTGTGATAGGTGTTTTTGATAACCTCTTTACTGCAGCATTTATAAGCGCTGTTCACGCGGATACACCACTTAGAGTGAGTTGGAGAGTCCTGACAGTGACAGCTGCCAAGTAAACAGCTAAAGGCTAACGGCTAAGTAGCTGCAGTGCGGCCGCCGCTGGCTGCTGAAGCGTCGACGGCAGCAGCGAGCTAACCTGTCTGTGAGCGCTTTTAGTGGCGTGAAGTTACATCACCACGACCTGCCAGCAGCAGCTTTTCTTCACTCTCTGTCGTTCCTATTTTTTGGTAAATTGCTTCGACCACTGGTTCCCACAGCGGTATTTTCCATTCATGTTGTTTTTGGGGACGAGAACGACTCTCACGGACCTCCTGTTCTTCGAGTTAGGGTGAGTTGAGTTGCATGTCAGGCCAATATGAACCAAACTTCACTCAAGGATTGCGCCAGGTGTGTTTGTTTCTATGGGTATTTACCTGGGAGCGGCTGCTCAACCTGCCTAGGCCTGATCCATCCTGTTTGACTGTGCTTCGTATCTTGTCTGTTTTCTGCTCCCCAAATTTGCCAGGCAATAACTTAGATGATAGTCAAATTGTAGACGTCATATGTAAATTGCATTTATTTTTAAGTATTTCCGAAGTATCTCACATTAGTATTAACTTTAAAATCAGGTTATTTTCACAAAATAAAAACAACAATGCCCTAGGTAGTGTCCTAAGTTTACTTATATTAATAATAGCTTTGCTGAATACTAGATTGTAGTTGTTCAAAGTAGATTTAAGTCTCTCTGCCATGTCTTCCTTAGTGAAACTGACCCAGATTTATTGGTCTTCTGGCATCAACCCTGGTCTTTTAGGTCATTTTACAGACTAGAGTTTTTTTTTCATGCATGGCCCAACTTTACAAATTCAATTTTGCCACATTGGGGTTTGATGTTTGGTCAATGAGAGATTATTTAATTTCTGTCTATCATAGCCAGGGCAAAAAAGGAAGAAGCCCTAGATGTAACCAAGGCCATTATTTATGCACATTGTGTGAAGCTGTTGTCTAACTTATACGTTGATATGTTGGTTTGTGATGATGGTAAAAAAATGACCAATGAGGGGCAACCTTGAGCCAGGCATTGATGTAGCAACAGTCTGAGTTTAGTCACCATGAAACATTGTGTTTCATACTGTATGGTTGTTCACTATCTTACATTTTCTTTCTCATTCTCATGAACATATTCATTGTCTTTGCGACCAAAGTGTTGTACTTTTTTGTATCTTATATAAACAGAAAATGTTGAAATTGCCTTCCATGAAGTGCAAAGGGTTTTTTTCAGATATTTACAAATAACCATAATACAGTGAAGCTCCCAAACACCCATAAACACCCAACATAGTGTTTTTTTAACAAAGTAAAATTACTGTTAACCACAAAACACAGACAATTCTGATTGTGTTTTGAAGATGTGCTGTCCTGTTTTTTACTTAAATATGTCACAAGAAAACCCAAACCATTATGTGGCATGGAAGCAGCAAATATTTAACTTAGATAAATAATAAAATGATCATGTGCTTGCAATGGTTTTGACTACACGAGAAGACAAGTAATAATAGATAATAGAAAGCCATGAAGTACTGCGACAAGTTGCCATACTTTAGTGACAATTTGTTTCTAATCATTTGGTATTCCATAATTTTAAATGGCTGTTTATTAGGTTTTTGTGTTCAGTGTGGATTTAATCTTTGCTTTTCAGAAAGTTTAAATGGTGTCAGATATAATATACATTTATCAATACATTTAAAAGTGTTAAAAGTATTGATAATGATTGAGTTTAAAAAGTGCAAGTTTGGTGCTTAAAAATTAACGTTTTAACAATAACATTATATGGGGTATTTCTTTTGAGAGGAGACAATAATACTTGGTCCTAGTCCTGCTTGAAACGGTTGCGACAACATGTTCTATAACATTTTCACAGCATGAACCCAGAACAGCCACAGGCTTTTAGTTCAATGTTTCCCGTAAACACAGGAGAATATAACTTCCTTACGTGTTTTTCACTGCAGCATCACTTCATTAATGAGGAGGATTTTTTTTCCCCCCACTGTTTACTAATGTTCACAAACTGTTTGTGAACAGCTTTAAGAAGCCTTAAGAGATCAATGTTCAATGTTCAATGTTTGAACAGCTTTAAGAAGCCTTAAGAGATCATGACCAACTTAGGAACTTTGATCATGAATGGAAAGGATTAGCCAGATTATCAGGGTCAAAGTTTAGTCACCATAGCTTTTATCACAGCCAGCCTCCGTCAGTACATTTAAATATATTATCAATTTATTGACCTGAATGATAAAACCTATTTATTAGGGCTCATTTCTGAAAGTCACCTGAGGAAAACGTATTGATGTTTTACATCGTCCAGATTGTAATCACGTCACAGGGTCTGGTATTTCCTCCTGTGCAGCAGAACTGTTTAAGAGTTGACTTTCAGCCCACTGTTTGAAATTAAATAATACGATTTTTAAAAATGTAAATACAAAAAGTATTTGGTAAATGTACAGCTTCAATGCCCTGTCCATCAGTCGGTCCTCTACTGCACAAGACACTGCTCTGTTGGTCAACGTTATCTTCTTACCAGAAAGACATAGATGTATCAAACTTGATTTTCCTTACGGTCATACATTCAGGGTTTACTTACTGTAATAACTTACTGTAATAAATACCTAAACTAACTAAACTGTATGTATTCCCCATGCAATGTAGAAATGGCACAACGTTATTGTTGCAGCAGCCAGTCACCGGGTTCTATCCAGGTTCTATCCAGATAGGGCTGCAGGGTAAACCTGGAATAATTTCTCCAAACTTGTCAGCACTGAATTGACTTGAGTCAGTGTTGACTATATCACCACATGAAAACGCTCTGTCTCTTTCTTGTGATCCAGTCCTGATGTCTGTCAGAAATAATTTTGTTGATTGGTGAACTTGTCTCCTGGATTTCCTTGAGTAAATATTGAATAATTCAATTTTAATCGTGTTGGTTTCTGTGTTGAGTAGATGCAGTCAGTAAGATCAAACCCTGAAGTGTCTGTGTTACAGGTGTGATGACAGTTTGACAGTTTGACAGTTGCTCACATTGCAACATAAGAATTAAGTCACTGAAACCCTCCTCTCCCATAAGAAAGACTTTAAAACTCCTGGTCCAATATGCCCCACACTCTCTTTTTCCTCCATCACCGTGTCCTCCTTTTTTACATTGCCAACGGGGGAGCTGGCTCGGTGAGATTCCTTTGCTTGTCTTCAGCTAAAACCTTCCCTCTACTTTAAATGAAGCTGCCTGAGGAATGGAGCATTGTAGAGTGAGGGTGGGGTGAGCAGGCAGCACTGCCTCCACGAGCCAACAATGGGCCGGGACAGCTAACTGGTTTGGGGAGATCTAGTAACTCGGGTAAGCCATTGTCTGCAGCGCTGCCACATTTCAAGAAGTTTCAGGTACCTGTGTATCAGTGGCAGGTTTCAAATGTAGTTGACCAGGTTGAGTTGTTGTTATTTTGTCATTAAGGAAAACGATGGGAAAACAGCCGGATAGCAGAAGTTAAGGTGTAGATCTGTAAATAGCACGTTATTTTTTGAATAATCCTAATGTCAAAAATAAACCAGGAAATAATTTAACTAACAAATTAAGGACTCACATAAGTATGTGGTAAACCTGCATCTCTGACCTCTGCTCTTGGGCAACAGAGGAGGGAAAGAATTGACCGGTCAAGAGACGACCAAATGAAAGCACACAATGTCAAAAACATTACGGCATAAAAGTAAAATGAGGACGTTTGCAGTGTCTCAGTCCCTCAGGCTACAGAAAGTAGCAGAAGCCGTCCAGAAATGTGTCGCCAAAAATGTGCAGGAGCACAGGCCACACTGAAACATCCAACTAACCAGTGCTCCAAATGCTAAAATGGCAATGGAAAGAACTGCTGTTTTCTGCCACTTTGATGCTTTCTGACCCACAGTTAGCTGAAGTTCAAAGTGTAGGACAGGTAGGAAGTGCAGTGTAAATGTGTCACCTGTGCAGCTCATAGTTTTGTCGTGAGCGATAAGAAGCAATCAGGGAAATTACTGAGGGGGAAATTTCTCAGTGTGTTCAAAGGTCTCTTCTGCTCATGTAGACTTTGACAGCTGTAAGTCTTCGAAGCGTCGAAGCTTTCAACCACATCGCTCATTATCAATCACTTCATTCCGTCAAGAATTGGAAATTTAATAAACGTGGTAGGCCTTAGAGGTTAACAGAGCTTCCAGAAAAGTGTGAATCAAAGATCTAAAACAATCTGAGCCACTTTCTGCCTGTGCATCACTGTGGACTTATATTCCACAGTTCATTCACGTATCCCAGGAGGAGCTGCTTCAGCAACAGCTTC